ACACTAGAGCTGGGGACGGAGACTTGTGTCTGTAACCCCAACTACTCAGGAGGCTGGGGTAGTAGGATCACCTGAGGCCAGGAGTGTAAGACCAGCCTGGGCAACAAAATGAGAGATCCTGTCTCTACAGAACACACAGACGCAGACACACACACACACACACGGTAACAGAAAACTACCCAGCTGAACTGAGTCCCATAGACTAGAGAAATGCATATACCTCAAACATAGCAGCCAACTATGTCAGCTCACCATGTGTTATAAGCCACATCCATCCATATGTGGTGTTACAACTTTCTGTCCAGTTTCAAGTAACTTTCACCATTTGATAATCCACAAACTATAACCCTTGTTTTCCTCCCATCCAAGTACTAACCAGGCCCAACCCTGCTTAGCTTCCAAGATCAGACGAGACTGGGCACGTTCAGGGTGCTATGGCCAAAGACTACCCTTGTCTTCCTTTGCTCAATTCACACTCAGTACATACGGGGATGAGACAGTGGGGTCTATTGGAGCTAATCAAGGAGAAAGGAACCTAAGAAGATACCAAGTCTTTGGTTTTGGGCAACTGGATAGATACTGATGAAACTGTGCCCCAGAGGATTAAAGAAATAGCGACCAGCAGGAATTCTTTTTTTTTTTTTGAGATGAACTCTCTCGCTCTGCTGCCCAGGCTGCAGTACAATGGTGCAATGTCGGCTCATTGCAACTTCCACCTCCTGGGTTCAAGCGATTCTCCTGCCTCAGCCTCCAGAGTAGCTGGGATTATAGGCGCACACCACCATGCCCGGCTAATTTTTGTATTTTTAATAGAGATGGGGTTTCACCATGTTGGCCAGGCTGGTCTTGAACTCCTGACCACAGGTGATCTGCCTGCCTCAGCCTCCCGAAGTGCTGAGATCACTGGCGTGAGCCACTGCACCTAGCCTTCAAAATAATTCTTGAGTGTATAGGATGGCAGATACAAAAAGAAACAGAGTGAGGCATAGTGGCTCACACATGTAATCCCAGCATTTTGGGAGGCCAAGGTGGGCAGATCACTTGAAGTCAGGAGTTTGAGACCAGCCTGGCTAACATTGTGTGAAACCCCATCTCTACTAAAAGCACAAACAGCTGGGGGGCCGGGCGCAGTGGCTCACACTTGTAATCCCAGCACTTTGGGAGGCCAAGGTGGGCGGATCATGAGGACAGGAGTTCGAGACCAGCCTGACCAACATGGTGAAACCCCGTCTCTACTAAAAATACAAAAATTAGTTGGGTGTGGTGGCATGCTCCTGCAATCCTAGCTACTCAGGAGGCTGAGGTAGAAGAATCGCCTGAACTCGGGAGGCAGAGGTTGCTGTGAGCCGAGATCACACCACTGGACTCCAGCCTGGGCAACAGAGTGAAATGCCGTCTCAAAAAAAAAAAAAAATATATATATATATATATTAGCTGGGCATGGTGGCGCACACCTGTAATCCCAGCTACTTGGGCAGCGGAGGTAAGAGAATTGCTTGAAACTGGGAGGCAGAGGTTACAATGAACAGGTCATGCCACTGCATTCCAGCCTGGGTGACAGAGTGAAACCCTGTCTCAAAAAAGAAAAGAAACAGCTTGCTGAAACTTTCTCCACTTGTAAGATAACAAAACTGGCTGAAATCAGTTGGCTGATTAGAGTTTGCACAGAACACGCTTACTGATGTCACAGCCCGAATTTCCACCATGTTTCATACTAACTTCCCCTGAAATTTGCACATGCAACCCATGAAGAGACAAGTGTGCATGCCCGGAGATGTTCCAGAGCTCCCCTTTCCTTCTACCAATCACCTGCTAATTCCAGAACCCACCCTCTAAACCTTATATCATAAAAAGACCACCTTAAGACCAGCACAGGAAGAACAGATTTGAACTGGACTTCCGTCTCCTTGTTGGTTGATTTCTGTTTGTTTTTTATTTGAGACGGCGTCTCACCCTGTCACTCAGGCCAGAATGCAGTGGCATGATCTCAGCTCACTGCAACCTCCGCCTCCCAGGTTCAAGTGATTCTCCTGCCTCAGCCTCCTGAGTAGCTGAGATTACAGGCATGCGCCACTATGCCTAGCTAATTTTTGTATTTTAGTAGAGATGATGTTTCACCATGTTGGTCAGGCTGTCTCGAACTCCTGACCTTATGATCTGCCCGCCTTAGCCTCCCAAAGTGTTGGGATTACAGGTATAAGCCACTGCACCCTGCTTTTCAGTTGATTTGTAGTAAGGTTTTTCTGCTCTCAAAAATCTGATGCCATAGTAATGGCTTCTGTGTGCATCGGGCAGCAAGCTGTTTTGCTCATTAACACTGGAGTAATTTATTGAAAATGCAGGAGGCAGAACAAGTGTGGAGAGGTGATGAGTTCCATTTTGGATGTATGATGTTTTAACTGCCTGAAGAACACTCAGCCAAGTAGTTGGATCTGGGGCTCTGGAGCTCTGCAGAGAGCTCTGGGTTAATAAGCGTCTACGGTAGTGGATAGGTGGTGATAGTGGGTGGGATCACGTGGCCCTGGGAAGCCCATGATGGCTAAGAAGCATCAAAGGAGAAAGAGGCAAAGGAAAAGACAAAATGAATGGTCAGAGATGGCACAGAAGAACCAGGAGTCCAGGGAAGACAGAGTTTTCTTCCCCTGTCATGCAGTCCAAGGGAAGACAGAGTTTTCTTTCTTTTTTTTTTTTTTTTTTTTTGAGACAGGGTCTGGCTCCATTGCCCAGGCTGGAGTGCAGTGGTGCAATCCCAGCTCACTATAACCTCTGCTTTCCTGGTTCAAGTGATTCTCTGCCTCAGCCTCCCGAATAGTGGGGATGACAGGCGCCCACCACTATGCCCAACTAATTTTTGTATTTTTGGTAGAGATATAGGGTTTTACCATATTGGCCAAACCGGTCTCAAACTTCTGACCTCATATGATCCGCCCACCTTGGCCTCCCAAACTGCTTGGATTACAGGCGTGAGCCACTGCACCTGGCCCAAGATAGAGTTTTGAAAAGGAGTGGTCAGCATTAATTGACTGTTGACTGAGGATCTCCTTGGTCTGGTACTTGGTCAAGTCTTATCTCATAGCCATCCTGAGGTTTATGTAATAGTGTACACATGTGTTCAAAAGAAGAAAATGGCTGGGCACAGTGAGTCTGTAATCCCAGCACTTTGGGAGGCCAAGATGGGCAGATCACTTGAGGTCAGGTGTTCAAGACCAGCCTGGCCAACATCACCATGTTGTAGAGACAGGTGAAACCCTGTCTCTACTACAAGTACAAAAAACTAGCCAGGTGTGGTGCTGTGTGCCTGTAATCCCAGCTACTCTGGAGACTGAGGCAGGAGAATCACTTGAACCTGGGAGGGGGAGGTTGCAGTGAGCCAAGATTGCGCCACTGCACTCCAACCTAAGAGACAGTGCAAGACTCTGTCTCAAAAAAAAAAAAAAAAAAAAAAGAAATGGAGGCTCAGATTTGTTGAGTAAGTCAACCAATCATGCATGGTAAAAGAGGGAAGCAACATACAGATTCTCATCTGCTGTCCTTTGATGCTAGGGTTCACCCTCTTAGGCTGCACTGTCTCCTCAGTGTCGGAGGCCAAGGCCAGGTTTAACTGGTTAAGGAAGGAATAGCAGGTGAGGAAAAGGAGACAAGAATGGGAGGGGTGAGAAGAGAACAGTAGAGCAGATTATTTGGAGAGGAGAAAGCAACCGGAGCAAGTAAAACGTGGTGGTGTTTGTTTTAGGATGAAGGGAATAGGAACATTTGCTCATTCATTCAGCAGATATTCATATTGAACACTAACTTCTGGGCACTGAGGATCTATAGCAGTAAATAGGCCAGGCGCAGTGGCTCATGCCTGTAATCCCAGCATTTTGGGAGGCCGAGGAAGGCGGCTCACCTAAGGTCGGATCAGTTCCAGATTAGCCTGGCCAACATGGTGAAATCCCAACTCTGCCAAAAATACAAGCATGACATAAAACGATGACGTGGTGGAGACTACATTGCCTTCTGTCTTACTGGGTGCTGTCTCCACGTGACCCCTGATATCTCAGTATTATGAAACTGTTCTCTCCTGTTTTCAGTAGCGAGCATGTGTGCTTGCTTGTGTGTGTGTGCGTGTGTGTGTCTGTATCCACGCATAGTAGGGGGAGGCAGAGCTTCCTGTCAGAAGGGGCAATGCAGAGAAACTGAGCCCAGCTCTTTCTCTGGTGCCTCGTGACTTCAGGAACCAGACACTCACGCCAGTGTCACAAGGGCCAGAGAGTTGAGGCATCGGAAAGACCAGGTCAGACCCCACATGCTTCGGGCGAGGTCAGGTTCCTTCTCCTGCCACAGTGTTTGTGGAGGCAGTGAGATGCTTTCAGCTCTGAGGACTGTGTCATATCTAAGGACAAACCTGAGTTCCGGGCCTCAGGGGGATTGCTCCCAAGAGACAGCTGAAGATCTCAAGAGTGGAGGGGGGCCTAGCAGTGGGCCATGGGCTCAGGAGAGCTGACCCCATGAAGGAGGAAAGGCTGGAGGCTGGGAAGAAATGTAGGGGCAAGTCTGCACCTCCAGGTCCCCTGTTTAGGTGCCAGACTTCTCCAGGCAGGAGTTGTTGGAGTATCAGGGCCCCCACAAGTTCCCCAGCCCTTCCCCCAGCCCCCATGAGCCACCTCGGCGGCCTGCTCTTCCGAACCACTCTAGAGCCTCAACTTTGCGTCTCCTCTAAAGGGAAGGAGGAACCTGCCCCTCCCACATGGTGTCACTGGTCTACGGACATGCAAGTCAGTGGTGTGTGGCTGGGGGAGCAGCCAGGTTCAAGGGCATCAGGCTTTCTCCCCTTTCCCTTTCTCTGGGGATTCCAGATGGGAGAGGGAAGTCCACGGTCACATTGCACAGACTCAATAGCAGATCAACCCTTGAATTTGTTTTTGAAAAAAATAAAACTCAGTGGATCTTTCTTCCCCAAAGATGTGGCCTCTAAAAAACTGCAGTTCCTGTGCTCTTAAAGATAAAATTTCAGAACAATCTTTCTACACAAATAGCTTTTATTTGTAAAAATGATGGATCTTTGCTGGCTTGATAGCCATTTCTGACCCTGATACAAAGAGTCACATTAATGGATGGGAACGCGAAGAGGCTTGAGGAGCACCTCAGCGCCCGGCCCTGCTCAGTTGCCATCCCCACTGCTGTCTCGGTCTCCCTGGGGCCCGCTGGCCTCCCTGGGTCTGTCTGTGTCTCCCTAATCCTGCATCTCCGGCATGTCCCCACTCTGCCCGTTCACATGGTGTCTCTCACCTCTCTGTGTCCTCAGCAGATGTCTACTGGAGCCTTGGGACAATCAAGAGTCTGTGTGTGTCCTGTTGGGGAGCTTTGCCATCCATGCAGGTTGTTGGGCCTGGGGCTCCCACAGGGTCCACAAGCCAGGTTGGGCAGGGGCTTCCTTTTTCCAGAGACAGGTGCTGTGGGGCTAGTCAGGGGCACAGGCCTATCTGAGATAGTCTGATGGCAACAGACAAGAAATGCCAAGTGGGGGTCCTGGAGCACAGGCCGGTCCTTTCAGAACACATCGTCGAAGACTCCACATCCCAGGGAAAAAGGCCACGTGCTAAACTGCCAGGCGGGGTGCTGAAGGGCTGAGGAGGGCGACGTCAGGCCCCGAGGATGCTGGCTCCTGTACCCACTCACAGTGGCCCTCCCAAGCTTTAGGCCAGGCTGTAGCTGGTCCTCCTGGGGAAGCCAAGGAGAAGGATGGAAGTGCTTTGGGGCCTCTGTCCTGCCGCAGAACCCCGCGGGAGGTTTGGTGGCTGCTCCTTGTCTTCCCAGCAACTCCTCTTCAGCTCCTCCCCTCCCAGGTCCTGTAAATAAGCTACAACCCTGTTTCTCCAAGTGCCATCGAGCAGTTCCCCAGCGCCTGGCCTTCCCTGACTGGGAAGCATGCCCTCGGTATCTCTCTGCTGCAGAGCCCGAGGCCGTCACCCTGAGCAGGGAGCCGCTGATGACAAGGCCACCCACACTGCCTGTCCTGTGTGGACCTGCGTGATGTGTGCCTGCTCGCAGACCTTCCGTGTGTGAACACTGCATGATCAGGAATATCTGCTGGGCCAGACATGGTGAGGCTGCAGCAGCAATTCCTGAGTGCCTGCTTGGCCTCAGGCTCTGTGCTGGGCTCTTGGGGTACAAAAGGAATAAAACACAGCTCCAGACTTCAAGGTCCCCATAGCCTCCTCGGAAGGTCAGGCAGTGAGTAGATCCTCCCCATCAGTGGGGTTGGTACTCTGGTAGGGAAGGACCAGGTCAGAGAGCTGCTCGGCACTGCCCATGGGAGGGAGGGCAAAAGACTCCTAGGCTTCCACCCGAGGGGGAACAACGGTGCCATTCCCCAAGACAGGGACACAGAAGGAGGAGCCAGCTGGGGGACAAGATGAGTTCTGTTCAGGGCTCGTCGAGACTGAGTCCCATGCTTGTGGGCTACTAGGTGGAAACATCCACACACCGGCGACATGCAGCGCTGGAACTTGGGGGAAGCCCAGGGTGAAGGGTGGAGGGCAGCTCTGGGAGTCCCCAGGCATAAGGGGTGTCTGAGTTGGGTCAGACTAGCAGATAACGTACCTAGGAGGCTTTGGACAGCAAAACCAATATGAGGTCAAGGAGGGAGCCCTCACATAGCACAGTCCACTATGTGATCAAAGGAAGAAGTCTGAGAAGGGGGGGCCAGGGTAGAAGAAGAAAATCCAGGAGAAAAGGGTGACCCTGAGCTAAGGAGAGAGTGGTCCGGAGACAGGACCGTCGGGCTGTGTGACACAGCAGGGGCGTCTGCAGGCTGGTGTTAGTCACTCCCCCAGCGGCGCACACTGTGCTTCCCCGGGTGCAGGGGGTGTGTGGGGCCCACCTTCGAAGGCTCAGCCGGCGGGAGGCATCCTGGCTGGGCGTCTTTGGAGTGGAGCCAACCATGAGGATGCAGAGCCCAGCGAGGATCATGCAGGTGGGCACGGCTCCGATGAGGACCTTGAGGGTGACCACCACCTCCTCTGCCTGCTTGCAGGCCCCTGCCTTGTACCCCGAGAACCTGTAGAAAATCACCCAGCCATTAGGGCAGGGCCTTGCCGAGCCTGGTACCCTGGGTGGACAGGCCCCAGACACCCCCTCTTGAAACTTGGACTTCATTTCCTGGCCAGATCAGGAGAGGAGTGGAGGGGACGGGCTGACCTGGGAGAGTCTGGAGGGAACTGAGAATGTGGAGAGCTGGCCCTCGCAGTCCTGTGCACAGAGAAACCTGGGGAAGTAGTTCCCCATAGTCTCCAAAGAGCAGAGCTCAGGCCTCAGACACATGGGTGCCCCAAGCTCGGTAGGATGGGGGCTTTGCCCTCTTGCCGCCCAGCGGTCCTTGCTGCCTCTGCTATATCCTAACCCTGGGACTCACTGCAGACTGAGAGTGGAGATGCCCAGGGCACACGCGCCGGAGAGCTTGGTAAAGAAGACATAGGAGGAGTAGAAGATGGTCTCCAGGCCTGGCCCGTAACGGTGCTGCAGCTGAAAGTCATCCACCATGTCTGGCAGCATGGACCTGCGGTGGGGGCATGGAGTCAGCTCTCTTAGCCCCTTGGCCACCAGCAGCCTATGAGTTCTCTGGGGCAGAGGCCAAGGCGGATTCATCCCTGAGTTCCTGTGCCCAGCACCAGACTTGCTGCCGGAGGAGCAGATGGCCTGTGTGCTTGTACTCCGCTGAACCCCCACCATTCCTACTGCCTGCTGCCCTCTCAGGAGGGCTCCATCTCCTGCCCAGCTGGGCGCAGAGGGCCTGGGACAGCAGGCTGACGTGAAGGAGAAGACACCTTCTATGGACACACGTGAGGCCCCCACACCCAGCCTACCAGGGTAGCAGCAAGGACACAGCAATGCTCACGCCAGATACAAAGGCCACGACATAAGCCACAGGTGCTGCAGGCACAGCAGCCAGCAAGATCGCAAAGGGCACCATCACCTGGGGAGACACACACCAGCTGTCCCACCTGTTCTTTCTCACACGGCTCTAGACTGATGACCCCCATGCCTCGCCCGGTGCTAGGCCCTGAAGACGCAAGAGAACACAAATCCACTCCTGCTGAAACCAGGAGGCTCAGGCGCCACGGTCACCTCCCTGCCTCTCTCCTCACACCACCCCTACCTAATCCTTGATTCCTGCCCCACTCACAAAGATCCCGAAGGCTGACGTCGTCTTCCCAAAGTGCTGGAGAACCCACTCCCACAGCGGGGTGCTCAGCACGGCTGAGACCTGTGAGCAGACAGCATTGTCACGCCAGGGCTGTGCTGCCAGTGCCCTCACCCGGACCTTGAGGCCTTGGCTTTTAGGTGGGACCCCTGACCTCGGCCTTGCCCCTGGTTCAAACAAGTGGCTATGAATGTTATAATCCTGGTCCCACTTCTACCCTCTGCTGGAATGCAGGTGACCAAGACCAAAGCAAAGTCCAAAATGTTGATGACCAGAACTGTGGCCACAGGTATCACATCGAGGACCACACATGTCCGCAGCTCAGGCCCCCAAGTGACCTAGCCTCCACCACCCCAGTTCCCCTCACCAGGACAGTTAGCACCAGGCCCTGGACGTGGTCGTGTAGCTGGGAGGCATGCGTACAGAACAGGACCAGGTAGCTCTGCTCCACCTGAGGAGATGAACAGGAAGTGGGCATGGCAGGAGCTCAGAAGTCAAGGGCGAGGACCGGGTCTTGAGTCTGGCCTCTCCGCTGGGACCTTGGCTTGCTGCCGCCATCATGCAGTCCCTTCCCCCACAAAGGGCTCCTATCCCCAACACAGATATCAGCACCACCCCTAGGCCACCCTCATCACCTGCACAGCTATGATCTGGTGGACTTGACTATGCCTCAGGTAACGTGAGAGGAAACTGACCAGACACTGTCAGCTCCTAGTGCCTAGGCCCTGGCCCTCCAATCTCACAAACCCTCCTGGGATTTCCCTCCCAGCACCAGCCCCTCTAAGCCATGTACCAGCTGCAGGTTTCTCCCTATAAAGCTCAAGCTGAGATTGCACCCTGAACCTATGCAAGGTCAGTGTGGCCAGTGCCAAGCCAGCGGGGGGGGCCACTGGCCAGAGGTACCTGAACAGCAGCAGAGATGAACAGGAAGGAGAACACCAGCTTCAGGTAGGGGGGATGTCGGGTAGTGAGACCCAGCCCAGCCAGGAAGCTCAAGCCTGGGCCTGAGGCTGGAGCAGAGGGGTCTGCAATGCAGGAGGGTGGCACCTTGGCTTCACAGAGTCCAAAACCAAAACCTGCCCCCGAATAGAGCCCCGCCCCCAGCTTCTGCTTCCCTCCTCCCCATCCCCATACCTGGCCGCTCCTTCACCCCTAGGCACAGTAAACTGCTGCACACAGGGTAAGTTGCTGCAACCACCGCAGCTGCAATGCAGTAGAGATGGGCCTGTGGGAGGGGACAGGACTAGGGTAGGTGACGTCTTCAACCCCGGGAGGTGGTGACACCCGAGGGGCAGGGCAGGACTGCCTCCCAACAGGAGCAGAGCGAGGCACAGCCCAAGCCCAGGACGCTGGGCCCCCACCTCCCAATCACCCCACAGACAGCCTGCTCTCTGGGCCTGGGCTGGTCCTTCCACGCACCCCCTCTGCTGAACGTGTGTTTCCTTCGTGGAGAGAGGGCTCTGACACCCCAGGGGCCAGAGTGCTCCCTCCTGCATTCTATGAAGCAAACATTGATTGCTGCTGCCTTCTGCATGCTAGCCCCTGAGGCTCCAATGATGAGTAAGTGACCCTTGTCCATCCACAGGGCTCAGAGCGTGGGGAGGAAGACAGATCCAGGAGCAGACAGTTACAACACAGTGAGATGCATGCTGAATCACATTAACGTAGGAAGCAGGACCAGGCGTGGTGGCTCACGCCTGCCATCCCAGCACTTTGGGAGGCCGAGGCAGGTGGATCACCTGAGTTTAGGAGTTTGAGACCTGCCTGGCCAACATAGTGAAACCCCATCTCTACTAAAAATACAAAAATTTAGCCAGGCATGGTGGCAGCCACCTGTAATCTCAGCTACTTGGGAGGCTGAGACAGGAGAATTGCTTGAAACCGGGAGGCAGAGGTTGCAGTGAGCTGAAATTGTGCCACTGCACTCCAGCCTGGGTGACAGAGGGAGACTCCGTTCCCTTCCCCACACACACACAAAAAGATATGCAGGAGAGTCACAGCCAGTTCAGGACAGAGGCTGCCTCTGGGGAGGGAGCAGAGAGGGGGTGCAGGGCGGGGCAGGGCACTCACCCTGTGCAGCCGCCCTGGGCCTCTTGCTCTGAAGGGCACTGCCTCTGGGGTTCAGTGCTCTGCTGTTGCCGTCTTGAGATTCTTAATAATTTTATCATGGATTTGAATTTTGTAAGTGAAATTTGAGGGGACAGTGGGTTGTGAGCCACCAAGAGCTTCCAGTCTTTGCTCACATGAGGCTCTGCCCCCGGGAATGGGTTTTTAGCCTCCTGCTTCCCACTCTTTGATACCTTCCCTTCCCCAACCTAGGCCATTGCCACCAAGCATGTGGCATTGGAGAGTGGTATGGGAGGCCCGAGTGGAGGCCCAGGTGTGAGTACAGGGAGAGTCAGTCTAAGATGCAGCCTTCTGGCCCTTGGCCGGCAGCAACATGTAGATTTGGAGAGTGGGGGCCTCTCACCTATCCCAATCCAGGTGTTTAGTGGACACCTAGAGGGTGCCAGCACTGGAGGCTGCAATCCTCTGGCTGAGGCAGTAGGCCCACTGGGAAAGGGGAGATTGGCTTCCCGAGGCCCTGCATTTTCATTTTGCAGAGTACATAGGCAAGCTGAGTAGCTGACTGAGTCTCACTGCGTTGAGTAGGCTGGAGTGCGATGGCGTGATCCCAGCTCACTGCAACCTTGGCCTCCTGGGTTCAAGTGATTCTCCTGCTCAGCCTCCCCAGTAGCTGGGATTACAGGTGCCTACCACCACGCCCAGCTAATTTTTGTATTTTTAGTAGAGATGGGGTTTCACCATGTTGGCCAAGCTGGTCTCAAACTTCTGACCTCAAATGATCTGCCTGCCTTGACCTCCCAAAATGCAGGATTGCAGTCGTGAGCCACCGCACCTGGCTGTAATGTTTTCTTAAATGGGTGGTGGGCCACAGATATTACTGGTATTCTTCTCACTATTGATGCTGAGACATTGGTGAAGGCGGAATCCCCCAGAGGGCTTGTTAACATAGAGATGCTAGGCTGGTCCCTAGAAGTGGTGAAGCGGAGGACTGAGGTCAGGCCTGAGATCTGCTGTTCTAACAAGGTCCCAGGTGTTGCTGATGCTGCTGGTCCAGGGACCACACTAAGATCTGTGGCTTTCTGCCTTTGTGTAAATCTGAAATGTTAAAAACAAGCACAGGCTGGGCGCGCCACTGTACTCCAGCCTGGGCGACAGAGTCAGATTCTGTCTGAAAACACACACACACACACACACACACACACACACACACACACACACAAAGGCAACACAGCAGGGCACAGGGCGCACACAGAGCAGGTCTACATGAAGGCTGTGGAGGGCGGCCTGCGCCCCATCCTGAAGGTGAGGGCCACCCATGCTCAAACTCCTTCCAAAGGGCACCTGACCAGGCAGGGGAGGTGGCTGGAGGGAGGGATGCCGCACAGGAGATGGAGGCAGCAGTTGTGGGGTGGGGAGGGAGGTGGTGGCACGGGCTAGGGCATGGCAGTGGGGTGCAGGGAGGCTGGGTGTATCCCAGAAGACTTTGGTCTAAAAACTGGGCACGATTCGGTCATAGGTTGGAGGGTTGAGAGAGGATGGGAGGAAGAGGACAGTGCTAGGGATAATGATGTCATTTACTTAAGGAAAGAGGGAGAAATAGAAAAAGAGAAGGTCAAAGTGGTGGCTAAAATAGAGGTGCATCTGCTCAATGCTGAAGGGACCTGCTGTGAAAGGGAAGGAAGGGGGCTTCCCCTCTCATTTCACCATTTCACGCTGGGGGTTGGGGGCTCACCTGGTCAGGGCTGGGGAGGGGACACAGGTCATAGGAGGGGCTTTACCCAGGGCTGTGCGAGGACACCAGACCCCTCTGCTGCCCCTCCCCCAGCCTGGCCTGGGGCTTTCCCCACCCTCGCCCCTCCTCTGGGGCCGGGCTCCTCTGCTCCAGGTGGCCAGCCCAGTGTCTATTGTTCTATTTTATGTCTAGAAGGAACCCAGGAGGAGGCAGGTTTAGCAGAGGATGTTAGATGTGGGGGCCGTCTGCTCAGCTGGAGGAGCAGGGAAGGAATGAGGGAACACAGTGAGCCCCCTTAAAGACAGCAAAGAGGTGTGGACAGGAGAACCAACCCTAGAGGAAGGAGGTGACCTGCAGAGGGGACACCAGGTTGGGGGGCCTGGCCACCCAGTGCACTTACCGAATTGGGGGAGACAGTGACCGGCCCCGGGGTCGCAGCAGCCTCGCACCTGTGGGGTCTGTGGGCACCAGACACAATAAGCCCGTGGACGGTGGCCCCCATCAGTGTTCCCGCCATCTCCACGGTCATCCCTAGAGACAGAGCGCCGATTAAGGTGACTGAGAGGGTGTGGGGTCCCATATGCAGTGCCCTCCCCAGAACCCAGGGCTGCACTCACGGTAGGCAGTGGCTGAGTCCCGCTCCCTTGGGCAGGGGGTTAGCAGCATGGTGAGCGCTGTGTAGGGCACCTGGAAGAACTAGGGCACCAGCAGAGCTTGGAACCATACCCAGCTTTGCCTGGTTACGGTGGACAACCTCCCCTCTCCTGGGTGTCACATCCTGGTACCCATGGGCTAGCCTGACATATCCCAGCTGACCATCTGAAGTCGGAGCTAGGGGCTTAAGGGCAGGAGGCAGCAGCCAGCCCCACACAGGGCCAGCGAGAGCCAATAGCATGGTCCAGGCACAGGCGGGTGGGTAGGGCAGTGGCTGCACCCCACAGCACACTTCAGAGTGGCCACTGCCAACCATGGGCTTCGCCAGAGCACACGCCCAGGAAGGGGCCCTGCTTACCGTGGCCAGGGCCTGGAACAGGCAGTAGCAGGTCATGTACCAGAGGCCTCGCAGGCTGGTGAAGGGGGGCAGGAACCACAGGAAGAAGTAGGCCAGGGCGATGAAGGGGGTGCAGCCCAGCACCCTGTGGAAGCAAGCTGAGATGGAGCGGTCCCCAGACCAGGACAGGGGGACACAAAGGGCCCAGCCTGGAGCAACCTCATCTCTTCACTGCCCCTTGGGAATCCCTAGGCTGGGGCTCCCTGGGTGGGAACCACAGGCAGGGGAGAAGTGGCTGATGGCTCATGGAGGCATTGGGAGTGGGCAGCCATTCCTTGTGGGAACTCCGGCTACACAGTCGGTGCCAGTGGTGCCACTCCCTGTGTGGACACTGGGACACTGAGTTGCACTTCCTCTGTGAGGCCTCATGTGGCCTCCAGCCCAGCCTGCCCACACTCAGAGCCCAGGCCAGACCTGGGAGTCTCGGAGGCTTCATCCAGCCTGTGCCATCTGGAGAGGGGGAGTCCCCAAGAATGTCGCTGAACTCCTTATCACTCACAGCCAGTCCCCAGTGCACTGCAACATTATCCAGTCTTGTCTTCTAACCACCCAGAGGGTTTCCACTAGGAAACAGGGCTGTGACAGTGACCTCAGGGCCAGGATCTGGCGCCTGGATCCTAAGGACCGAGGGGTTGCTCACCAAGGCATGAGCCGTCCAGACCCCGTCCTCCTGCTTCTGTTGATGAAGAACCCAGCCACAGGGTCAGCAGCTGCCCCAGACACTTTCCCCCCAAACAGAACAAGTGACACCTGGGCGGCAGGGATCTGAAACAGATGAAGGAGGGGATAGAGAGCCAAGGCCCAGCAGCAGCAGAGAGGCCATCCAGGCCTGCTTGCCACCAGGAGGGAGGACTGGGAATCAGAATCAGCGGGGCAGAGCCACAGTGTCAAAGGCTCCTCAGCCTCCCCCAGGACACTAATCCCAGGGCTCTGAGTCCAGGGGAGGGAGCTGCGTTCTGCCGCCCAGCACACCCCCATTACCACTCATGTCAGCCTCTACGCAGAGGATTCCAGAGCCCTCATCTGGGGCTGGCTCAGAGCAAGGAGGGTACCTCTGGGCTGACAGAGGTGGACATTGTGTTTCACAATGAAAAGGATTCATTGGTTTTTCTGACTATGTAAATAATACACTCATTAGAAAAACATTCAAACAATGCAGGAAAATACTAAGCAAAGCTCATCTGAAATCCCAGCATCCCAAGACAACTGCCAGAATAGTTTTGTTGATCAGCCTTTCATAGGCTCCTTCATGTGTGCTTGAGATTGATCACTTTATATAAATGGGGTCGTAACAGAGTGTCTTCTTAAACATTCATGGATATCTCATTTTATTTTTTAAAAATTGAGACAGGGTTAGCCAGGTGCATTGGCTCACACCTGTAATCCCAGCACTTTGGGAGGCCGAGGTGGGTAGATCATGAAGTCAGGAGATCAAGACCATCCTGGCCAACATGGTGAAACCCCGTCTCTACTAAAAATACAAAAAATTAGCTCGGCATGGTGGCGTGCGCCTGTAGTCCCAGCTACTCAGGAGGCTGAGGCAGGAGAATTGCTTGAACCCAGGAGGCGGAGGTTGCAGTGAGCCAAGATCATGCCACTACACTTCAGCCTGGGTGACAGAGCAAGACTCTATCTCAAATAAAAAGGAGTAAAAATTGAGACAGGGTCTCACTCTGTTGCCCAGGCTGGAGTGCAGTGGCACCATCTTGGCTCATTGCAACTACTGCCTCTTGGGCTCAGGTGACTCTCCCACCTCAGCCTCCCAAGTAGCTGGGACCACAGGCATGTGCCACTACGCCCAGCTAATTTTTGTATTTTTAATTTTTTTTTTTTGTGGAGGTGGGGTTTCCGCCTTGGCCTCCCAAAGTGCTGGAATTACAGGTGTAAGCCCACCACCTCCAGCTGGATATCTCATTTATTTGTTGTTGGGTTTTTTGTTTTTTTTTTTTTTGAGATAGAGTCTTACTCTGTCACCCAGGCTGGAGCGCAGTGGCATGATCTTGGCTCACTGCAACCTTCACCTCCCAGATTCAAGTGATTCTCTTGCCTCAGCCTCCTGAGTAGCTGGAACTACAGGCACCTGCCACCACGCCCAGCTAATTTTTGTATATTTAGATAATAGAGATGGGGTTTTGCCATATTGGGCAGGCTGGTTTCGAACTCCTGACCTCAAGTGATCCTCCCGCCTTGGCCTCAAAAAGTGCTGAGATGACAGTTGTGAGTCAACACGCTCGGCTGGATACCTCATTTAAAAAATTTGGCTTTACTTACCCTCCATTCTCCATTGTTTCCTCCTGTAGCCGACATTAATGAGTTGGTGTATATCCTTCTAGAATTTTCTCCATGCTCATATTTTAAACATGGACCGATGAATATATATACATATCCATACACACACACATATGGAGCTTGTCTTTGTTTTGCTAAAATGGGATCGTTATATATACTATTCTCTAAAAGTAGCTTTTTTTTTTTTTTCACCAGAGCATCATGGAAATCACTCTAAGTCAACGGTACAGGTCATTCTTCTGAATTGCGGCATGACAGTCTATGTGATAGTGAGGTTAGTCTAATCTTTTGCCTGCTCTGGGCCACACTGGAAGAATTGTTTTGGCCAGGCATGGTGGCCCATGCCTGTAATCTCAGCACTTTGGGAGGCTGTGGTGGATGGATCATTTGAGATCAGTAGTTTGAGACCAGCTAGGCCAACATGGCAAAACCCTGTTTCTACTAAACACACAAAAATTAGCCAAGTGTGGTGGTGTACGCCTGTAATCCCAGCTACTCAGGAGGGCGAGGCATGAGAATCACTTGAACCCGGGAGGCAGATGTTGCAGTGAGACGAGATCACACCACCGCACTCCAGCCTGGGCAACAGGCTGGGCGACTTGTCTCAAAAAAAATAAAAGAATTGTCTGGGGTGCATATAAACACATAACATACACTAACACTAATGATAGCTAATGAGCTAAAAAAAAATCACAAAAAAATTTCATATTGTTTTAAGAAAGTTTACAAATTTGTGTTGGGCTACATTCAAAGCTGTACAACTGTGGGCTAGACAGGCTTGGTCTGTTATGTGGCTATGGTACAGCTAACTTAGCCAACTGCTTCTATATAGACAGGCATCCACATTGTTTCTCATTTTCCCACTACAAACAGGCTGCAGTAAACATCCTTGAGGAGCTTGCTCTCAGTAGCTTCTGGCTTTTTGTTAAGCTTGAGTCAGAAGTGCTGTCTACAAGGATGCTGGGAGCAGAAGCGCAGGTGTGGGTGGAAGGATCAGATCCCAAGGAAAATTCAAGCAGAGACCGGGCTGCTGCCCACACTTACCTGTGCTATATCAAGCAGGAAGAGCTGCAGGTAAAAGGCTGTGGCACTGGAAGCTATCTGGTTGGGTACCCCACCAATGCCATAGCACACCTTCGTACAGAATGAGAGACGACCAGCTCTGCTGTCCTGGAGGAGACACAGGAACTAAGCTCTTCACCCAACAGACACCAAACAGGTCTCCATATCCCATGACTTCAGTAAGCATCCTGCATCCTTGTGATGCTTTCAGGGCTTTTCCAGCAACCTCTCAGCCCCATTTTGCCCCCAGATCATTCTAAGAGGAAGTGAGACAGAAGAGAAAAAGATCCTAAACCATGACCTCTAAACATTTCCAGGGGGAAGTTCTGCCGGCCATCTTTGCCTGGGCTTTCTGCTGAATCAGCACCGCCGTGTAAGCTGCAGGTCAGGAGACCTGGGCTTGAGCCTGCCGTTGTCACCTATCCCTCTAAGTGATCTTGAATAAATCACTTTCTCCCCTCCAAACCTGTTTTCCTCATCTGTCAAATGCAACATCCCTGCCAATTTCATAAGGTTGTTTCCATGAGTAAATGAGGTGGTAGCGGTAGCTCATTTCCCCATCACCTGCCTACTCACAGTCCTCCAGGGATGCCTGGCAGGCATTTCAGCTTAGCATGGTCAACATACAACTCCGGACGGCCATTAGGAACTGTCTAATCCAGCTCTTTGCCGGTCCCCTCAGTGGCTCAGGCCACAAACTTAAGAGGCATCTTTGATTCTTCTTTCCAATTCTCATCTATCAGTGAGTGCCTCCTAAGTGGCTTCTCTGTGTCTGCCCTTGCTCCCTACAATCCATGCCACCTAGCAGCCAGTGCTCTTGTAATAACATAAACCAGATCTCAGCCACACGCAGTGGCTCACCCCTGTAAACCCAGCACTTTGGGAGGTTGGTGTTGGTGGATCGCTTGAGCCCAGGAGTTCAAGACCAGCTTGGCCAACATGGCGAAACCCCATCTCTACTAAAACACAAAAATTAGCCGGGCATGGTGGCGTGCCTGAAATCCCAGCTACTCGGGAGGCTGAGGCAAGAGAATCACTTGAACCCAGGAGGTGGAGATTGCAGTGAGCCAGTATTGCACCACTGCACTGCAGCCTGGGCAACAGAGACTCGGGCTCAAAAAAAATTAATTAAATAAATAAATCAGATCCCATCTCCTCTCTGATTAAAAACCTCCAACAAGTTGCCATTGCAGTTTTTTTCCCCCAGATACATGGTATATAGTCAATGCCATCACAGTTTGAACTCCAAGTCCTGATCATGACTAAGGAGTCCACCCAGTCGGCCCCCTACCCATCTCACCTCTCTCCTTCAGCCACAGTGGCCTCCTTCCTATTCCTCAAAATAATCAAGTCTGTTGCTGCCCCAGGGCCTTTGCAGTTCCCATGACTTCTGCCTGGAAGGTGATTCCTATTCTGGTTGGTCACCAGCTTAAATGTCACCTCCTCCCAGAGGCATTCCCTGTGCACTCACCTCTCTCAGTTGTACTTACCTGCTATAGTCTCATTTAGCTCCTGCCTCTCCCTACAGGAGTATAAGCTCTCTGAGAGCATGAGCTCTACCTTTTATTTACCATGGTGTTTCCAGTACCTAGAACAAAGCTTGGTATACAGTAGGTGCTCAATATATGTCAGTTGAAGCAAATAGTGGCCATGAAGACCCTGTGTAAAGGGCTGTTTCTTTGGAAGGAGCTGGGCACCTTTTCTCATCCTTTGCCGGGGGGCTGCGGGCAGTGGAGATGACATGGCTTCACCCATTTCCACATCTGGCAGGACACCCCAGCAGACTGTTGTGAAGGGAAGGGCTCCCCAGATATGGGTTTATCACACTTCGCACACTCTTCCTACCCACAGGACGAAACCACACTGGGGGCAGGATGATTCTTTTCTGACATGTGTGTGAACATCATTTCAGCTTCCAGAAAACTTTAAGAACAGGCAGAATTCAACGTGATAGTCCTCCTCTCCCTCAATGGAGACCCTTGTATCCCCAACACGGACCTAGCAAGTTTTTAGAACTTTAGAAAGAACTTCCAAGTGAAGCCAGGAATATTATCCAGTCTTGCCTTCTTGAGGATGACAGTTTTACGGAAAGTCATAAAAGTCCTGCACAGCTGTACAGTGAGAATCTTAGGTTCAAATTCTCTCTGCTATCTCTAGCTGCGTGACCCAGAGCAGGGCCCCTGCCTCCTGCGCTTTGGTCTCCTTGGAGTGACCAGTGATCCCATCCCTCCCAGGATTGTATGAGGATTCCATAGCGGCGCTTTCCCAGCAATGCGAATTTTTCCCTGTTGCTGTTAATCTCCCCTGAATTTCTAAATTTGCCAGGAAGTGAGATTCCCCGGAGAACCTCCTCATCTCACCTCACTTTCTTTCTTGTGGGACGTAATCCTGTGCTCCGAGGTGCCTAGCAGGACGCCCTGAACCAGACTCGGGGCTGAGGTGGTCAGGGGAGGCCACAGAACGCCCTGGGCACGAGCAGGGACCGGGCGCATTTAGTGAGACCCAGGAAGCCCCAGACCCCTCGCCCCGTTCTGCACAGACCGGCTGGCCAGCATGGCCTGGCCGCATCAGTGAGGGACAAGGAGCCCCGCCGCTCCCACCTGCCCTCCGCCCTCCCTGTAGGAGCCCACGGCAGGGACTTCCCGGGGGCAGCCTCCAACGGGAGCCTGGTGCCTGAGTGAGGCCAGGGTCTGGGAGGGAGGCCGAGGCCACAGCAGCTGCCTGAGGTCGGGAAGGACGCAGCCTCCCCATGCGCGGCCAAAAGCTGCCCTGGTCTCGGGGACCCAGAGAGGACCTCCATTGGCGCAGACAATACCCCTAAGCCTGGAATCAGGACAGCAGAGTCCACACATCCCCAAGTTACTTCCTTGGCTGGGGCTCGCCTGCCTGTCCTAGTCTCTTGCGGGCGCCAGCATGTCCCCAGCCTCCCCGCTCCCAGTCGTGGAACTCCGCGAGGGCAGCCCCTGAGCCGGCAGGTTTGGACCGAGCCCCGCCAGGCTGTCCCCAGTTGGAAAAGGGGCTGCGAGGTGATGCCCTCGAGCTCCCCGGGACGCAGCCCCTTCCCGGCCCGCGCAAAGCCCCGCGTCCCCACCCCTGCCACCCAGCTCACCTCTCGCCCTCCCTTGGTGCCCCCCGGGCCGGGCTCCGGGGCATGCGGCTGCGGCTGTGGGGGTTCTCCAGCGGTCGTTGCAGCGGGGGCCGCCATCGCCACCGCAGTGCCGCCCGTGGCCGTGGCCATTGCCCTCCGAGTTATCGCCCTCGGGAGGGGCGGCTCCGGGAGCAGAGTGAGTAGCCGACGGCAACAGGGGGAAACGCAGAGACCGGGAGGGGCACTGTTTCTTTCGCTTCCCCAAAGGGAAACAGCGAAGAGCCAAAATCCGCGGCGGGAAAGGCCCGCCAGGCCTGCGGGACAGTTCTCCTTGGGGTAGATCCAGGAGGGGCGTGAGTGCCCGCAGACCGCGGCCGTGGGCGCTAAAGGCCTCCGCCAGATCCCTAGGGTGACCTCGGACAAAAAGCAGCTCCCTGCAAAACGAAGCGAGAGTCCTGCTTGTTCAGGCTGGACAGGCATGCCACCGGCTACACACGACACCCAACACCTGAAATACACGTTGTCTAGTCTCCTATACAGATCACAGGGATGGCCAGTAACTAAGTTCTGGCGGCGAATGAAAGCAGGGTGGCACAGGCAATATTCCAGAAAAGTCCTTAAAAGGGAAGGGGTGACAGCAGGTAGCTAGTCAGACTCGAACAGGGCAGGAGAGGGCCACGCTTCCAACAAGGAACATCAGGCAACCATCCGGTGACCATCAGGTGGTTATGCTACCTCTAAAATAATAATTGAAATAATTGAAAGGCAGCCTCCCAGTAGACAGAGAAAACCTGAAACTGCTGATCAGCTTCTAGATAAGATCTCAGGAGTTGGGCAAGTGGGCTCCCGCATATACACTACAAGGCCAATTTTGGAGTTCAGCTGGCACATGACTGTGCAAGGACATTGGAATGGTAAGGGAAGAATGCCTCCGGTGAGCATGGGCACAACTCCAGTAAACACAGTGTGCAAACCAAATGCTGGCAGGCCACTGCCCATGTGGACAGGCCCCCCCACGGGAACGATCAGGGGAGAAGGGATGCAAGACCCCAGAAGTATGGCAGTGTACAAGACCCCAGGTCAAAAGGTCAAACTATGCACTTGTCCTTCAGGTCACTGGCTTGGCCCTCTTCCAAGTATACTTTGCTTCCTTTCATTTCTGCTGCAGAGCTTTTTAATAAACTTTTACTCCTGCTCTAAAACTTGCCTCAATCTCTTTTTATGCCTTATGCCCCTCAGTAGAATTCTTTCTTCTGAGGAGGTTAGAATTGAGGTTGCTGCAATCTGTATAGATTTGCCCTTGCTAACATATTTTGGTGCCATGTGACTCAGATGCCTTCCGCCAGTAACAGGGGCACACATTAGCTGAAAATGCATCATAGACCTAGAATATAAAACTCTTATGAAAAAACAGGAGGTGGCTCACACCTGTAATCCCAGCTACTCTGGAGGCTGAGGGAGGAGAATCACTTGAACCCGGGAGGCGGAGGTTGCAGTAAGTGCACCACTGCACTCCAGCCTGGGTGACAGAAAAAGACTCCGTCTCAAAAAACAAACAACAAAAACAAAAACCAACCAAACAAAAAAAACAGGAGCAACTCTTTAACATATTGGGCCAGGCAACTGTTTCTTAGGATGCCAAAAGCACAAGCTGGATAAACTACAAAAATTTTCAAAATGAAAACCTTTGTGCTGTAAATGATTCCAACAAGCAGGTATAAAGACAACCCAAAGAATGGGAGAAAAGGGATTTGCATTGGAATCAACTTTCACAACTCAACAATTAAGACAATCCAATTTTAAAATGGGCAAAGAATTTGGATATTTCACTAAAGATATACAAATGAACAGTAAGCACATGGAAATAAATATTGAAACTACAGTGAGATAGATACCAGTTCATAACCACAGGGGGCTGTCATGAAAACGAGACAAAAACAAGTACTGGGGAGGATGTGGAGAAATCTGAACCCCTGTACACAGCTTCTGGGAATGGAAACTAGTGAGAGTCCTTTGGAAAAGCTTGGCAGTTTCTCAAAGTAAAATGTGTAATTACCATATGACCTGCAATACCCTACAGAAAGGAAAACATGTTTACATAAAATCTTGAACATGAATGTTAATTAGCAGCATTCATATATATTCATTCATTTATATTCATATATATGTATATGAATACATAAGTGAATATACATAAATTCATTCATGTATATATTCATATATTCATTCATTTATAAAATTCATATATATGAATGTATATGAATACATATGAATATATGTATATATGAATGCCGCTAATGAACATTCATGTTCAAGATTTTATGTGAACATCTTTTCATTTCTGTAGTGTATATGCCAAAAAGAGGACACAATCTAATGTCCATCAGGTTATGAATGGGTAAATATGTAGTATATCCATATAGTGGACTACTATTGGACAGGAAAAAGGAATGAAGGACCATTCACGCTACAACACAGATGAACCTTGATGACAGTATGCTAAGTAAAGGAAGCCAGCCACAAAAGACTACATAGTATATGATTCCATTTATGTCAAATGCCTAGAATAGGCAAATACAGAGAGACAGAATGTACATTTGTAGTTGCCTGGGACTGCGCTAGGGAGTGACTGCTAATGTTTATGGGATTTCTTTCAGAATGGATGAAATTTTTCTAAAATTGAATTGTAATGGTTGCACAGCCCTACAAATACACTAAACACCATTGAATTGTATACTTTATTTTTATTTATTTTTTTGAGACAGAGTTCTTGCTCTGTTGCCCAGGCTGGAGTGCAATGGCACAATCTCAGCTCACTGCAAACTGCACCTCCTGGGTTCAAGTGATTCTCCTGCCTCAGCCTCCCGAATAGCTGGGATTACAGGCATGCGCCACCATGCCCAGGTAATTTTTGTATTTTTAGTAGAGATGGGCTTTCACCATGTTGGCCAGGCTGGTCTTGAACTCCTGATTCTCAGGTGATCCACCTCGGCATCCCAAAGTGCTGGGATTATAGTAGGCATGAGCCATCAGCCTAGCCTGAATTGTATACTTTAAATGGGTGAATTGCACAGCATGTGAATTATATCTCAATAAAGCTGTTTACATTTAAAAGGGAAGGAATCTGCTCCTTCCTACTGGCTGAAATACAAATGTGTTGGCTGGTGCTAGTGCAGCTACCTTGAGACCCCAAGTCTACAGACTGCTGAGACTGGCAGATCAACAGAAAAGGAATCAGATGATTTTATGAGGTTGATCCTACTAGCCCTGAACTGTTTCCCTTTGGCCTTTTGCATGGGAAATAAAATTTGACCTTGTAAGCGACTACTATTCTGGATTTTCTGTCATAGCTAAATCTAATCCTAAAGGATACACTACCCAGTTTAGAGCAAGTCATTCCATTTTATATGTCTTAATTCCTTAATCTACAAAATGGGTACATTTTTGTTTCTTTGATTGCAATAGAAGGATAGATTAGATAATGCAAGTGCTAAATATTTAATTCCTTAGAAATTAAAAACTAAAGCCAGATTTTCTTTAGATAATCTACTTTTACAATTTTTTTTTTCCCTTTTTGTGGAGAATGGGATCTTGCTATCTTGCCCAGACTGGTCTCAAACTCTTGGGCTCAAGCTACACTCCTGCCTCTGCCTCCCTAAGTGTTGGGATTACAGGTGTGAGCCACCATGCTCAGCTAAATAATCTACTGTCAAGTACATCCTATTTATATGCATTTTCAATAGGTTTGGAAACATTTCATTCTCAACACTTGTACTTTGTTGTTTATACTACTGCAATTTTAAGTTTGAAAGGCAGCAGGTAAAAACAATTTTTAAAATTGTTTAAAAATTGAAAAATAACTTTTTTTTGGATAGCAAAACAGGTAATTATAATAAAAGGCATTTCTCTAACAATTACTATTCTATTTAAAGTGACGGTAAGGCCAGCGTGGTGGCTCACACCTGTAATCCCAGCACTTTAGGAGGCCACAGCAGGTGGATCACCTGAGGTCAGGATTTCAAGACCAGCCTGGCCAACTTGGTGAAACCTTGTCTCTATTAAAAATGCAAAAATTAGGCGTGCATGGTGGCATGCGCCTGTAATCCCAGCTGTTTGGAAGGCTGAGGCAGGAGAATGCCTTGAACCTGGGAGGTGGAGGTTGCAGTGAGCTGAGATCGCACCACTGCACTCCAGCCTAGGGGACAAGCGCAAGACTTCGTCTCAAAAAAATAAAATAAAGTGACGGTAAGTTCCTAATGCAATGTTTAATGCAAAAGACACATAAATTAGATTTCAATAGATAAAGTAAGATTAAAATAACGAAGGCAGCTGCCTTTTAATTAAAACAAGACTAAATACACTAAAAAATATCTGAAAGGATGCACACTAAAATGTTACTAGTTATGGTTTTAATTTCTAATTTTTTTTTAACTTTTTTTTTCTGAGATGGAGTCTTGCTCTGTCGCCCAGGCTGGAGTGAAGTGGCACAATCTTGGCTCAATGCAATCTCCGCCTCCTAAGTTCAAGTGATTCTCCTGCCTCAGCCTCCCGAGTAGCTGGAATTATAGGCACATGCCACCACGACTGGCTAATTTTTGTATTTTTAGTAGACATGGGGTTTCACCATTGGCTGGGCGTGGTGGCTCACACCTATAATCCAAGCACTTTGGAGGCCAAGGCTGGCGGATCACCTGAGGTCGGGAGTTCAAGACCAGCCTGACCAATAGCGTGAAGCCCCGTCTTTAAAAAAAAAAAAAAGTAATAAATAAAAAATGGGGTTTCACCATGTTGGCCAGGCTGGTCTCGAATTCCTGACCTTGTGCTCAGCCTGTCTCGGCTTCCCAAAGTGCCGGGATTATAGGCATGAGCCACTGTGCTCAGCCTTTTTTTTTTTTTTTTAAACTTTTTAAAAGAGACAAGTTCTCCCTATATTGTTCATGCTGGAATGCAGTGACTAATCACAGGTGTAATACCACTACTGATCAGCATTCATTCTGACTTGCTCCTTTTCCAATGGGCAAGCTGGTGGTCCCCCATTCCAGGGAGATTACCAAATTGATGCCAAACTTAGTGCAGACATCCGACTGACTGGCAGAGCACACTACACCGCAGGACTCCTGGGCTTAAGCAATCCTCCTGCCTCAATCTCCTGAGTAGCTGGGACAACAGGCATGCATTTCTAGGACCAGCAGTGGTTATCTTTGAAAGGCAGAATAATAGGTGATTTAAAGATCATTTTAGCATACCTGCATATTATAATTTTCTGTAATGAATATGAATTATCTGTGCAAAATATACATTAAAACAAATGACAAAGAGCCAAATATTAGTCTACTGAATAAACCATTTCCATTTGAGGATTTAGTGTAATAAGCAATTTTTTCATTAAATGGTTTATACTTAGGAAAAGACAGAACAAAGGAGTAAACCCTACTAAAGAGTCTTTATGCCAGTTCAATTCATAACACAAGGAATGGTTGAAAAATTAAACACACCATTGAATTAATATTTCAAAAAAATCACATCTTTACATTTCTGAGTATTGAATGAAAGTAATGTTGGTTAAAGCAAAAGCACCTAATAAACATTTGTTGATTATCAAACTAAATGACTACACCAAACAAAATGACAAATGTATTTGCAAATAACTATTTTATAACAAGTGTAAATGATTTCAAGAATCCTTTTAATGAATAGTATTTCATTCTTAACGGTTCTTTAACTGTTAGCAAAAGATTGCTCTCAAAATACTTTAAGGCACTGAAATAGATGCATACAACATCATCAACACACTGAAATGTCATGAAAAATTACACTGAGAGAAGTATACAAAATAAGATTTTTTTTAACAGAAAAAATGCATAGTAATTAACCAATAAACCAGAATCTGTAACATTAGATATGTATTTCTTTTTTCTTTTTTTTTGAGATGGAGTTTCGCTCTGTCACCAGGCTGGAGTGCAGTGGTGCGATCTTGGCTCACTGCAACCTCCACCTCCTGGGTTCAAGTTCCTGCCTCAGCCTCCTCAGTAGCTGGGACTACAGAAATGCGCCACCACGCCCAACTAATTTTTGCATTTTTAGTAGAGATGGGGTTTCATCATGTTGGCCAGGATGGTCTTGATCTCTTGACCTCGTGATCCGCCCGCCTTGGCCTCCCAAAGTGCTGGGATTATAGGCGTGAGCCACTGCGCCTGGCCTAGATATGTATTTCTATATAACAGCCCTAACAATTATTTTCAAGACACTGAAGACAGTTTTTAAACAATTGCTTAGGTCAAATTGCATTCCATATCTAAGATGCTTATTTTCAAGTTTTCCTTCCCTTAGCAAATTCAGTTTGTTTTCCAAAGTCAACCTCTTTTGATAATTCCACACATTTAACTAACAACTTTACAGCTTTTAAATTTTCAGGTAAAAAGCTTCACTGGATGATTCTCATTGTAGAAAACCTTTGAGAATATTATTCACATTAATGAATATTTCACAGTTAGAATAATGAAGGTTATTGCTTATGACAGGTCTTTCTCCATAGGACCCTTACTGGGGTGTATTTGACAGGTACATACAATAGAACCTCCTGTGTATCTTCTGGTTAAATAATTATAAACCAGAAAATCTACCAAAGAGGCTTTCTATATGTACACAAGAAACATTCTCAATAAGAGACCCCTACGTGGAGGATCATATGTTGACTATAATTATGCAAATAAAAATGCTACACGATAGGCCTAAATGAAACATTTTCTTAGATTCCTGAACATGTATTGACAATCATCCTGTTATTTTCTATATCAGAAAGATAAGTTCATTGATTTTACCACTGCCTCATTTTTTTTTTTTTGGTAAGCATTAACAATATTTTTGTTTCACTACAGAGAGGCTCTAACACAGCTGTGTAAACACTACCAACAATAAATATTTATTGTCTATTATGTACCTGTTCATTTCTAAGAGTAAAGGACAAAAGGAAAAGGCTCTCCTTTGTCCTCCCTCTCTTCCTAACAAAAAGACAAGACCTCTGCCCCACAGAAGACTGGGAGCTAGGAAAAGCAGCATTCTTACAATAGATTACAATCAGAAGATAGATTTTATGTCAGGTCATCTAGTTGCATAGATATTTCCCTGTTGTTATTCCTGAGTCCTTAGTAAAAACCTTAATTAAATGTTCCAGCCTTGTCTTGGCTATGCTACAGGTGACAAAGCACAGGTTTATGTAATGATTGGTTCAGCGATAAAAGGGAGCAGACTCTTTCCAAGAGCAAACTGGGTGACGAGGATACTTAGTGGTCTAGCAAACTGGTTTCAGTGGAGCCTTCCACTGTCCATGGTAAAACCATGCAGGTTTTATTTTCTTAGGGTAGATGCTTAGCACAGGATTTCCTGAAGAATGGTACCTCTACCACATACTTAAGAATCACTTGAGATTAAAAACGCAGGGATCTGAGACCCATCCCAGATACCATGTATCAGAATCTTTTTGGTAGGTGGCAGAAATAGGCATTTTTGAAAAACTGACCAAATGATTCTTAAACTAAGGCTCGAGAATCATTGTGAACCATCACTCTATATAGATTGGCTCTCAAAGTGTGCCTGAGGGATCCCTAGGGGTTCCCGAGACCCATTCAGGGAGCTGTGAAGTCAAAACGTTTTTCATAATCATACTAAGGTGTTATTTGCTTCTTTTTAATTCTCTCACAAGTGTACAGTGGTGTTTTCCAGAGTCTACATGATATGTGACTGCATAACAGATTGAATCTAGAAGATACGAGAACCCATCTATCTTCTTTAAGACAGAAAGTAACTCACAAAAAAAGCCCATTGCTTTCCTCACTAATACATACTATGTTTTATAAGTTATTATTGGCTGGGCACAATGGCTCACGCCTGTAATCCCAGCACTTTGGGAGGCTGAGGCTGGCAGATAACCTGAGGTCAGAAGTTCACGACCAGCCTGGCCAACATGGCGAAACCCCGCCTCTACCAAAAATAAAAAAATTAGGCATGGTGGCAGGTGCCTATAATCCCAGCTACTTGTGAAGCTATGGCAGGAGAATCGCTTGAAACTGGGAGGCAGACATTGCAGTGAGCCAAGATGGTGCCACTGCACTCCAGCCTAGCCGAAAGAGCAAAACTCTGTCTCAAAAAAAAGTTTGTATGTATGTATGTATTTATTGTTTTTGAGCTAGAGTTTCACTCTTGTTGCCCAAGCTGGAGTGCAGTGGTGCAATCTCGGCTCACTGTGACCTCCGCCTTCCAGGTTCAAGCGATTCTCCTGCCTCAGCCTCCTGAGTAGCTGGGATTACAGGCATGTGCCAAAACACCTGACTAATTTTCTGTATTTTTAGCAGAAATGGGGTTTCACCATGTTAGCCAGCCTGGTCTTGAACTCCTGATCTCAGGTGATCTGCCCACCTTGGCCTCCCAAAGTGCTGGGATTACAGGCATGAGCCACTGCACCAGACCTATTATTATTTATATTATTATTATTATTATTGAGGCAGGGTCTCACTCTGCTGCCCAAGCTAGAGTGCAGTGACACAATCTTGGCTCACTGCAACCTCTGCCTTCCAGGCTACATCAATCTTCCCACCTCAGCCTCCCCAGTAGATCTACAGGCATGTACCACCATGCCCAGCTAATTTTTTTTTTTTTTTTGAGATGGAGTCTCGCTCTGTTGCCCAGGCTGGAATGCAGTGGCACCATCTTGGCTTACTTCAACCTCTGCCTCACAAGTTCAAGCAATTCTTCCCCCTTAGCCTCCCAAGTAGCTGGGATTACAGGTGTGCACCACCCAGGCTAATTTTTGTATTTTTAGTAGAGACGGGGTTTCACCACATTGACCAGGCTGGTCTCAAAATCCTGATCTCAGGTGATCTGCCCGCCTTGGCCGCCCAAAGTGCTGGGATTACACGTGTGAGCCACCGTACCCAGCTAATTTCTGTAATTTTTATAGATGGGGTTTCGCCTTGTTGCCCAGGCTGGTCTTGAACTCCTGGGCTCAAGTGATCCACCTGTATTGGCCTCCCAAATGCTGAGATTATAGGTGTGAGCTACCACGTCCAGCCAGAAGCTATTATTTTTAAATAAATAAATATTTTAAATTTTTACTGTTTAATATAATAATAATATATATAGCTCACATAAATAAATGGTCTTGAGATCAAAATGTTTGAGAGCTGCAGCTTTATAAGATGCATCTCGCACCCTATGAATATTACTACTGTTATGGGCCGCTTAGTTCCTTGGCACACTCAATGCATACTTCATTTTAAATCTGATTCAATAGATCATTTGCAAAAAAGCATCTTAAACTTATTTTCAGGTATGGAGATTTAATCTGACAGTGAAAAATCAAGGTCTAACTGTAAAAGTCTAAGACATAAAGCATGTTTTTCTTCATGACATCAAAATGAAATAATCTTTAAATGTATACACAAGTTGACTCTGATGTATGAAACAGAAAACCATACTTTATGTGATGTATTTAAAAAACATTAGTCATGTGACACTACACAGGCATTAGATTCTAAGTGAGTGGTGGCAAATAAATGGCTAATCCCAAACGTTAGCCAAAAACAAATCCATAGTTTTTTCAAAGAAAATAGAAAGGAAATAGGGTTTATAGAGAGATAACTTTCTTTTAATTACATTTTAGAGTGTAGAAATGTGAGTAGACAGATTAATATTGACACTATACTAAGCTATGCAATTTTATTCTTTTATTTTTTTAATTAAAAAAGATAGAAGGGCTGGGTGCTGTGGATCACACCTGTAAGCCCAACATATTGGGAGGCTGAGGCGGGTGGATCATGAGGTCAGGAGATTGAGACCATCCTGGCCAACATGGTGAAACCCCATCTCTACTAAAATACAAAAAAATTAGCTGGGCATAGTGGCACGCAACTATAATCCCAGCTACTCAGAAGGCTGAGGCAGGGGAATCGCTTGAACTCGGAAGGCAGAGGTTGCAGTGATCCAAGATCATGCCACTACACTCCAGCCTGGTGACAGAGCAAGACTCCGTTTCCAAAGGAAAAAAAAAAAAAATAGGGGGTCTCATTATGTTGACCATTCTGCTTTTAAACTGTTGGCCTCAAATGATCCTCCCATCTTGGCTTCTCAAAGTGTTGGGATTACAGGCATGATCCATTGTGCCCAGACACAATTTTATTTTTTTTCTTTTTTCGAGATGGAATTTCACTCTTGTCACCCAGGCTGGAGTGATGGTGCAATCTCGGCTCACTGCAACCTCCGTCTCCCAGGTTCAAGCGATTTTCCTGCCTCAGCTCCTGAGTAGCTGGGATTATAGACGCCCGCCACCATGCCTGGCTAATTTTTAAAGTATTTTTAGTAGAGATGGGGTTTTACCATGTTGGTCAGGCTGGTCTTGAACTCCTGACCTCAGGTGAGCCGCCCACTTTGGCCTCCCAAAGTGTTTGGATTACAAGTGTGAGCCACTGTGCCCAGCCCACAATTTAATTCTTAAATGAAAATATATCTTTGATATTGTTGCCAAATTAATATTTGAGTCTATGTTGCCATTACAGAATAAAAACCAAAGACACTTAGATGTTTAGCCATAGCTGTAGTAAAAACAGGTCTCTCCAGCTTTGCATCTAAGTGGCAAAATAATTACACTGATACTTTTAACCTGCCATGTATAATTTTTCAATGATTTAGTTATTTATTTTTTATTTTAATTTTAAATTTCTAAATTTTTATTGTTTTGAGATGGAGTCTTGCTCTGTCACCAGGATGGAGTGCAGTGGCAGATCTTGGCTCACTTGGTAATCTCCGCCTCTTGGCTTCAAGCAATTCTCTTGCCTCAGCCTCCCGAGTAGCTGGGATTATAGGTGCGTGCCACCATGCCCAACTACTTTTTGTATTTTTGGTAAAGACGGGGTTTCACCATAATGGCCAGGATGGTTTCAATCCCTTTACCTCATGATCTGCCTGCCTAGGCCTCCCAAAGTCCTAGAATTATGGGCGTGAGCCACTGTGCCTGGCCATATTAGCTATTTAAAAACTCTGAGACAGCTAACATTTAAATAAATCCCTGCTGTTTGGGAATGATGGTTGAATAATATTGTGAACACACTTGCTAATTTATACCACATTAAGATTCTAAATAATATGCCTATTTCATATATCTTGATAATTGGTATTTGAAAATAAGTATATTTTTCTGAGTAGCCTTTTGGAAAAAGTGCACTGAATATAGTTTCCAGTCATATGCTACTTTCCTAACTTGTACTTCTCTAACATCTCATCAGGAGAGAGTTTAATAGTACTCGAACCAAAAGTGTAGTGAGTCTGCCTTCTCCAGTCCCCAATTTTGGTTTGCATGTCTACTTACAACCATCATTTCTCCACAAATTCTCCACTTAGTCTATCAAAAATCAATGCTCTGAAAGTTCTCTAAAAGGTGCAGCAGTTTTTTGGAGTCTCTGAATGATGACAGCATTCTGTAAATCTGCTTCTTCCAGGGTGAGTGTCTCATCTAGCAACCTGAGGACAGGAAGAGCTGTTGCCAGGAAAAATGGAGGACTTCTTTGAGATCCTTGGTATTTTTCAATGAAGTCTTTGATATGGCTTACCCTGCAAAACAGCAAAAACTATTAACTATTATAGGTAAAACTATAAATAAAAGCAGCAAATTATCAACACAAATTTAGGACAATGGTTATTTATCTTTTCCACAGAAGAAAAGAGACACAACCATAGAAAGACACAAAGTATACTGGTAAGAATCTATGTTTTGAGGTAGGTGGTACATATGTATTTTATTCTTATTCTTATTATTTTTTTTGAGACGGACTCTTGCTCCGTTACCCAGGCTGGAGTGTGGTGGTGTGATCTCGGCTCACTGCAACCTCCACCCTCCCGGGTTCAAGTGATTCCTCTGCCTCAGCCCCCTGAGTAGCTGGGACTACCAGCACACACCACCAACCCCGGCTAATTTTTTTTTTTGTATTTTAGTAGTGATGGGGTTTCATCATGTTGGCCAGGACGGTCTCGATCTCCTGACCTTGTGATCCGCCCACCTTGGCCTCCCAAAGTGCTGGGATTGCAGGCGTGTGCCACCGAGTGCGATCTATTCTTATTCTTTTAACTCTCTCTCTCTTTCTATTTTTTTTTTTTTTTTTTGAGATGGAGTCTTGCTCTGTTGCCCAGGCTGGAGTGCAATGGCGTGATCTCTGCTCACTGCAACCTCCGCCTCCCAGGTTCAAGCGATTCTCCTGCCTCAGCCTTCCGAGCAGCTGGGATTACAGGCGCCCGCCACTGCGCCCAGCTAATTTTTGTATTTTTTAGAAGAGATGGGGATTTACCATCTTGGCCAGGCTGGTTTCGAACTCCTGACTTCATGATCCACCCACCTCAGCCTCCCAAACTGCTGGGATTACAGGCATGAGCCACCATGCCCGGTCATATATTTTGTTATTTATCTGTGCCACTTTTACTGAAAATAAACAAATAAATAAATAAATGATTTAAAAAAATAAAAATAAAAACTACATATGCTATATATGGTGTTTCTACCTTTTTTAAGAGACTGAGTCTCTCTATGTTGCCCAGGCTGGAGTGCAGTGGCACAGGAGTTTTGACCTGCTCCATTTCCAACCTGGGCTGGTTCACCCCTCCTTAGGCAACCTGGTGGTCCCCCACTCCCAGGAAGTCACCATAATAATGCCAAACTTGGTGTGGACACCCAATCGTCATATCACACTACAGCCCAGAACTCCCGGGCTCAAGTGATCCTCCCACCTCAGCCTCCTGAGTAGCTGGGACTACAGGCACATGTCACCGAGCCCGGCTGATTCTACTTTTTATTAAAACAAATGAAATAAACTTTTTTCTCCCTTTTGAGATAGGTTCTTGCTCTGTCACTCAGGCTGGAGTACAGTGGTGAGATCACGGCTCATTGCAGCCTCAACCTCCTGGGCTCAAGTGATTCTTTCACCTCAGCCTCCTGAGTAGCTGGAGCTACAGGTGTGTGCCATCACGCCCAGTTAATTTTTGTATTTTTTGTAAAGATGGGGTTTCACCATACTGCCCAAGGTGGTCATGAATTCCTGGGCTTAAGCAATCTGCCCACCCCAGCTTCCCAATTGACCACAAGCATAAGCCATGACACCAGCTAAAAAAAGCTTTTAAGAAGGTCGGGAGCGGTGGCTCATGCCTGTAATCCCAGCACTTTGGGAGGCTGAGGTGGGCGGATCAGCCTGTTCGAGACCAGGCTGGCTAACATGGCAAAACCCCATCTCTACTAAAAATATAAAAATTACAGGCATGGTGGCACATGCCTGTAATCGCAGCTACTCGGGAGGCTGAGGCAGAAGAATCCTGCTTGAACCTGAGGGGCGGAGGTTGTGGTGAGACGAGATCGTGCCACTGTACTCCAGCCTGGGTGAGAGAGCAAGACTCCATCTCAGAATAAATAAATAAATAAACAAACTGTTGACTGAACTGAAAAGAAGAAATGAAATTTAAACTTGGTGAAAAAAAATCAAATACTGAAATTGAAGACTCACCTATGAGAGATGTTAAATTTCTGGACAATCCTTTTCCCATTGGCTAACCAGATCTGTATATTAGTAACAGGTTCTAAGTTGTTTAGCAGAACAGTAGACAAATTATTTTTATTTTCAACTTCAATACTCTTTGCTTTAGAAACAATTTTTGGTGTGGCACTAAGGAAATCCAGACAACAAAGTTAGACATGTTTTTCCATTCAATAAAACTTTATCATTAAATAATTACTATAAAAATTTTACAGTAAGTATAGCTTTTGGGAAGATTTTTGTAAGTTATATCTGTTTCTTCAATAATAACAGAAAGATAAATTATGTCCGCATTATATGATGGTTCTAAGAATCTGATAAAATTATATATATACAAGTAATTTGTAAGCTACATATATTGTTACTGGCATTATTTGAGTAGCGCTTTACAGAATGGATAATTTTAAAGAAGGTTCATAGATCTATGGACTTTATCTATTGCCCAGGTTGAATTTCTCAAAGAAATTATAAGTTTTTTATTGAGCTTAGTCCTTGGGTTATAATAAAAAAAGAAACTAAAGTATTCCTCATCATTCTGAAAGATGCATCCAGATATATTTGTACGTGTGGATAAATATGTATGTACCTTACCAATCTTGATAATTAAAAATACGAGAATTTATAAAAATGAAAGAGCTCCCATATCTAATCTCTCTGCATTTTCTGTTAGATGGGATGGGAACTGTAAACTTGAAAATAATTAAAGGCTTTGATACTGACACTAATTTTCATTTTTATTACCTCAAAATTCATACATAGATCATATAACACAATGCTGCAGGCAGTGGTAACCATAAAAAAAGAACAATAATATTCAAAAGCTAGCACATGTACTCTGTAGTAGTGGGTGCAAGGGAGAGAAAAGGACTTACCTATTAAATTCTGTCCTTAATAAACCAAGCCCTTTTGATTTGGATAAAACAAAAATAGCCCCTATGATTTTTTTAGTGTAGTGCTGGCATTGTTAATATACACTTAGGTAACTATAATTTAAGAGTCCTCATAAAAATTAACATTAAAAAAATCTGATTTCCAATGAGAGAAATGATAAACTCTATTCATGTGGTCTACATGGGTAAAATAATGATAGATAATTAGTTAAACCTTGATCTAGGGAAAACAAGACAATAGGTATACTTACCTTCCTAGTCTGTGACCCTGTCCTGAAAAGGGCTGGAACACAGGCTTCGTAGACATACATACTTCATTTTTCTTGTCTTCAACTTTAACGTCCACCTCTTCTTTATCAAAAATTCTCTGTAATTCTGAAGGTAATTCCCTTGGAAAGCAAAGAAATAAATGATAAAGTTCCCAATGTATTTTCTTTCTCTGAAGAACATTCTGTACACGCAAAAAATGAATAATATGTAGAAACATATAGAAATAAGATATATAACATTCCCTACAATGAAATAACTAAATGTATTCAAAACAATGTAATTAAATAATATGAATAATATCAAAACCCCACAAGAACAATATAATTTATAAGACTATAAGCTCATGAACAGTATGAGTTTTAATTATTACTTTTTATCGTGAAAATATATACCTAAAAAAATATTTTTTTCTTTCCTTTTTTCAGAGACGGGGTCTCATTATGTTGCCTGGGCTGGAGTGCAGTGGCTATTCACAGTCACGATCCCACTACTGATCAGCACGGGAGACCTGCTCCATTTCCGACCTGGGCCAGTTCACCCCTCCTTAGGCTACCTGGTGGTCCCCCCTTCCCAGGAGGTCACCATATTGATGCTGAACTTAGTGTGGACACCTGATAGGCATATTGCACTATAGCCCAGAACTCCTGGGCTCAAGTGATCCTCCCACCTCAACCTCCCAAGTAGCTGGAACTAAAGGCACGTGCCACAGTGCTTGGCTATATTTTAAAAATTTTTTGTAGAGACAGGGTCTTGTCCAGGCTGGTCTTGAACTCCTGGGCTCAAGCAACCTTCCTCCCTCAGCCTCCCAAAGTGCTGGGATTATAGGTGTGAACCACCACCCCCTGACCAGCATGAGTTTTATACCAGTACCTAGAATAGTACTAAAGTCATGAAATTTTTGATGGCTATATACTACACCAAGCTTGTCCAACCTGTGGCCTAGGATGGCTTTGAACATGGCCCAACAAAGCATTGTAAACTTTCTTGAAACATTATGAGATTTATGAGATTTTTGCAACTTTTTTTAAGCTCATCGGCTATTATTAGTATTAGTGCCTTTTAGTATTTTATGTGTGCCTCAAGACCATTCTTCTTTTTCAGTGTGGCCCAGGGAAGCCAAAAGATTGGACACCTCTGTTAACAAAACAATTTGATTTTTTTTTTTTTTTTGAGATAGGGTCTAACTCTGTCACCCAGGCTAGAGTGCAGTGGTGCGATCATGGCTTACTACAAGCCTTGACCTCCTGGGCTGAAGTGATCCTCCTGCCTCAGACTCCCGAGTAGCATAGAGGCCACCATGCCCAGCTAATTTCTGTATACTTTATAGAGGTGGGGTTTCACCATGTTGCCCAGGCTGGTCTTGAACTCCTAGGCTCAAGTGATTCATCCCAGTGTTGGGATTACAGGTATGAGCCACTGTGTACAGCCAAAGGACAAATTTTAACAAATTATTTTAAAGTAGTTGATTTATTCGAACAGAAATAATCCAAATTCATTTAGTATATAGTTGTGATTTCAGTACTTTTCTTTTCATTTTTTGTTTTTTTTTTCTGAGATAGGATTTCACTCTGTTGCCCAGGCTGGAGTCCAGTGGCACCAACATGGTTCACTGCAGCTGCAACCTCTTGGGCTCTAGTGATTCTCCCATCTTAGCTTCCTGAATAGCCAGGACTATAGGTGTGTGCCACCACATCTGATTTTTTTAGGTTTTCTTTCATAGAGATGGGATCTCACTATGTTGCCAGGGCTGGTTTAATTCCTGGGCTCAAATGATGCTCCTGTCTTGGCCTTCCAAAGTGGTTCTAAGATTATATGCATTAGCCACTGCACCTGGCCTACCTGGCCTGTACTTTTGTGTATATAAGTCATACTTCAATAAGAAAGTCTAAAAAATATTTTAGTGAATAAATAGCACTCTATACATATAGCAATTCTATGTAATTGTTTCATTTTTTCTGTTTGGGTTGAAATTGCTCAAATAATGAGAGAAAATATTTGCAAATCATATATCTGATAAGGAATTTGCATTAAGAAAATATGACAAATTCTTACAACTCAATAAAAACACAAATAACCCACCTGAAAATACAAACAGGCTGAGCACAGTAGCTCACGCCTATAACCCCAGCACCTTGAAAGGCCGAGGCAGGTGGATCCCTTGAGGTCAGGAGTTCAAGACCAGTCTGGCCAACATGGTAAAACCCTGTCTCTACTAAAATACAAAAATTAGCCAGGTGGGGTGGTACATGCCTGTTATCCCAGCTACTTGGGAGGCAGAGGCACAAGAATCGCTTGAATCTGGGAGACAGAGGTTGCAGTGAGCTGAGATCATCCCACTGCACTCCAGCCTGGCCAACAAAGTAAGACTCTGTCTCAAAAAAAAAAAAAAAAAAAAAAAAAGGCAAAGAAAATACTGGACAGAGGATTTGAACAGACATTTCTTTAAAGAGGATGCACAAATGGCCAATAAGTACATGAAAAGACACTCGACATCACTGGTCATTCGAGAAATGTAAGTCAAAACCAGAATGACATACCCCTTCACAACAACTAAAATGGCTATAATTTTAAAAAAGAAACCAACATGCGTCAGGATGTGGAAAAACTGGAACCCTCATACAGAGCTAGTAGGAATGTTAAATGGTATAGCCACTTTGGAATACATTTGGGCAGTTCTTCATAAAGTTAACATAAGAGTTAGCAATTCCACTTCTAGATTTATACCTGAGAGAAATGAAAACATATGACCACACAAAAACTTGTAGATAAATGTTCACAGTAGCTTATTCATAATAGCTCAAAATGTGGAAATGATCCAAATGACTAAACACTGATAAATGAATAAACAAAATGTGCTATATCCATACAATGGAAATAAGAATGAAGAACAAGGGCTGAGTGTAGTGGTTCATGCCTGTAATTCCAGCACTTTGGGAGGCCAAGGTGGGCAGATCACGAGGTCAGGAGTTTGAGACCAACCTGACCAACATGGTGAAATCCCGTCTCTACTAAAAATACAAAAATTAGCTGGGCATAATGGTGCACGCCTGTAATCCCAGCTACTCAGGAGGCTAAGGCAGGAGAATCGCTTGAACCTGGGAGGTGGAGGTTGCAGTGAGCCAAGATTGCACCGCTGCACTCTAGCCTGGGTGACAGAGCTTAACACTCTGTCTCTGAAAAAAAAAAAAAAAAAAAAAAAAAAGAAGAAGAACAGATACAAGCTACAACATGGATAAACCTTGAAAACATTACGCTAAAGGAAAGAAATCAGATATAATAGGACACATATTGTAGGATTCCATTTATATGCAATGTGTAGAACAGGCAAATACATAGATACAGAAATCCATAGAGACAGACAGAAAGTGGATTCATGGTTATGTCAGGGCTGTAGTGAAGGGGAAAATGAAGAGTGATTTCTAGTATCTGATTTTTTTTTTCTTTCAGCAATATATTTGGTTTTTGGGGGTGATAATGATATTCTGAAATTAGATTGTGCTGATGATTGTAAAACTCTGTAAACATTAAAAAATACTTAACTGTATACTTCAAAGGGATGCATTTTATTATTCATCTCTTTGGTTTTTATATATAATTATATATAAACAAAGCTTTTTTTTTACATAAATATAAAAAATAGTCAAAATATTTTTCATAGTGGTAGAATTTTAAATACTTAGCTGGGCATGGTGGCTCATGCTGGTAATCCCAGCACTTTGGCAGGCCAAGGCAGAAGGACTGCTTGAGCTCAGGAGTTTTGAGACCAACCTGGGTAACACAGCAAGACCTCATTGCTACTAAACATTTTTAAAAAATAGCTGGGCATGGTGGTGCACTCCCATAGTTTCAGCTTTTTGGGAGGCCAAGGTGAGAGGACCACTTGAGATGGGGAGTTTGAAGTTGCAGTGAGCTATGACTGTGCCGCTGCACTCCAGCCTGGGTGACAGAGCAACATCCAGAATTAAAAATACATAAAAACAAAAAACACTATGTTGCCAAGAACAATTAAGTATATATAAAAATTATGGAGCACGGTTGTGATAAAATATCACTCAGATATATTCAAATATTTTGTATGATGAATTTAAAATTGTTTAAAAAATAACTGTATACATCATATATATGAATCTATGGACAGAAAATGATAGAATGAAATTCATCAAAAATGTTCATAGTAGTTACTTCTGAGTGGTTACATTATAAGTGATTTTCCAGTTCTTTTTTTTTTTTTTAGATGGACTCTCTCTCTGTCGCCCAGGCTGGAGTACAGTGGCACCATCTTGACTCACTGCAACCTCTACCTCCTGGGTTCAAGCAATTCTCCCTTCCTCAGCCTCCCAAGTAGCTGGAATTACAGGCGCCTGCTACCACACCCACCTAATTTTTTTATGTTTTAACAGAGACAGCGTTTCACTATGTTGGCCAGGCTGGTCTTAAACTCCTAACCTCAGGTGATCCTACCAACTTCGGCCTCCCAAAGTGCTGGGAATACAGGCATGAGCCACTGCGCCTAGGTGATTTTCAAGTTCTTAATACTTAAAAAAAATTTCTAGATCAAGCATGTATAATACTTAAATTCATAAATATACAGTAAACATTACACTTTTTTTCTTTTAAAATTTTAATTCATGAATCACACAGCCTCCCAAGCTGAAGTAGGGTAAGAGAGGCTTTTAACGTGACCATTTAAAAGACTCTACAGATATTTAAACATAAATGTTAAATAATAAAGAAGAAGTGGCATCAAAAAATACTTAGTAAAGTAAATTAGTTTAAGTAAGATGTGGGTTGATAAGAATTCAAGTTCCTAAACTTTCTTCAAAATTATAGTTGTTGGCGGGGCGCGGTGGCTCATGCTTATAATCCCAGCACTTTGGAAGGCTGAGGTGGGCAGATCACTTGAGGTTAGGAGTTCAAGACCAGCCAGGCCAACATAGTGAAACCCTGTTCTTTAATAAAAATACAAAAATTAGATGGGCATGGTGGCGCACACCCATCATCACAGCTACTCGGGAGGCTGAGGCATGAGAATCATTTGACTGCAGAAGGTGGAGGTTGCAGTGAGCCGAGATCATGCCATTGTATTCCAGACTGGGCGACAGAGAGAGACTATCTCAAAAAGGAAAAACACTGTAGTTGTAGTTCTCTTAAGAAAATTAATCTTATAAAAATGTGAACTTACAAAAGAAAAAGTATTATCTGTGAATGTGTAGGGGTGTGTGAACATTAAAATGAATTCTTTGACAAAAAACATGCCTAAAATATCTTCCTATTACAAAGATTATTCACCCCATCTCCTTATTTATTGATGGAGACAGGGGCTCGTGCTGTTGCCCAGGCTGGAGTGGTGCAATCATGGCTCACTGTAGCCTTGATCTCCCAGGTGTAAGCAATCTTGAGTAGCTGGGCTGCCTGGGTAATATTTTTTTTTAAGTAGATATAAGGTCTTACTATGTTACTCATGCTGGTGTTGAACTCCTGAGCTCAAGCAATCCTCTTGCCACAGCCTGCCAAAGTTTTAGGATTACAGGCTTGAGCTACCACACCTAGCTACTCACCCCTTTTTGATGGAATTTAAAAACTGTTGACTTGCACCATCGGAGTAACTTCTGAAATCATCATTGACGGTGAATCCGTTTTTCCATAATTTTATATTTACATCTACCTGCAAAACAGTAGGAAACAAAATGCATCATGTTAATAAAATGTAGTAGGATTGAAAGTCCTTTGAAAATTTCTTCTATCACTATTCAGGCCGGGTGGAGTGGTTCACTCTCGCAATCCCAGCATTTCAGGAGGCCAAGGCAAGAGGATTGCTTGAGCGTAGGAGTTTGAGACCAGCCCTGGCAACATAGTTAGACCCAGTTTCTACCAAAAATTAAAATTATTGATATGGTTTGGTGGTGTCCCCACCAAAATCTCAAGCTGAATTGTATCTCCCAAAATTCCGACCTGTTGTGGGAAGGACCCAGGGGGAGGTTCTCGAATCATGGGGGCTGGTCTTTCCCATGCTATTCTGTTGATAGTGAATAAATCTCATGATGGGTTTGTCAGGAGTTTCCACTTTTGCTTCTTGCTCATTTTCTCTTGCTGGTGCCATGATTATGAGACCTCCCCAGCCATGTGGAACTATAAGTCAAATTAAACCTCCTTTTCTTCCCAGTCTCAGGTATGGTCTTTATCAGCAGTGTATAAATGGACTAATATAACTGGCTTCATAAAAATTAAAATGTAAGAGGGGAGGGATGTTAGGAGAGGCAGAGAATTGAGTAACCAGGACAGAGGAGAATACTCAGGATCACAGACTCCAGAGCAACAGCAGTAGAGCTCCCCTACCAGACAACCGGTCCACTGAAGAAGGAAGAAGGGTTTCACCACAGTCATGCCTTAGAAAAAATTTAACTGGCGGGCTGAATGCAGTGGCTTACGCCTGTAATCCCAGCACTTTGGGAGGTCGAGGTGGGCAGATCACAAGGTCAGGAGATCAAGACCATCCTGGCTAACACGGTAAAACCCTGTCTCTACTAAAAATACAAAAAATTAGCTGGACATGGTGGCACGCGCCTGTAGTCCCAGCTACTGGGGAGACTGAGGCAGGAGAATCGCTTGAACCCGGGAGGCAGAGGTTGCAGCGAGCTGAGATCACGTCACTGCACTCCAGCCTAGTGACAGAGTGAGACTCCAACTCCTCCCCACTAAAAAAAAAGTAGATGCTAGGGCCAAGTAGTCATTTTTCAACATAAGCCTTTCACAACAAATAGACTTTAAGTTTTTATGACTTAAACTTTGATAAAATTTTAAATTAACTTAAAAAGTAAATTAGAGTGAAGGGATTTTTCACAAATACTTTTAATGTCTCATGTCAAAAAATCAGCTGGGGTCTCATAATTGGTACTGCTCTCAGCCTGCTGTGACATGTTATTTTGATTGAAATGTTTTTTTAAAAAAACCAAACGTCATACACACATGTAGTTAGAAAAAGAAGTATTTTAATAGCCTTCCCAGGATATTCTTCTTTGATACTTAATCAAAATTTATTAAGTAGTAATAGTATCTCAAAAGTTAGTTGAGTATCTGAATGCGGAATCTAAAACTTACCAATCATCTTTTCATATACTTGTTACATTAAATATGTGATACTTTGGCTCTTTTACTCATGCATCACTTTATTACATCATATATTGGTCATTTGGAAAATACTGATTTTCTTAATTATGCAGATCTTCCAATGGCTGACACATTTATTTCATTATATAACAAAATTTATATTTATTAAAATGATACTAATCTCACTAGGAAATTCCTTACGTTTTGAGAAGTTGTCAGGTACGGTGGCTTTCTTTTTCTTTTCTTTTTTTAAGACAGTCTTACTCTGTTGCCCAAGCTAGCGTGCAATGGCACGATCTTGGCTCACTGCAACCTCCACCCACCAGGGTCAAGCGATTCTCATCCCTTAGCCTCCTGAGTAACTGAGATCACACATGTACACCACCAAGCCCTTTTGTATTTTTCAGTAGAGAAAGGATTTTGCCACGTTGGCCAGGCTGGCCTTGAACTCCTGGCTTCAAGTGATCCACTCACTTTGACCTCCCAAAGTGGTAGGATTATAGGTGTGAGACACCAAGCCTGGCCTATGGTGGCAATTTTCTAAGTCTTATTTTCACTTAAAAAGTTGTTAAATAAAATTTTATCATTTTCAACAGTTACTATAAGTTGTTTTCCTTGAAGTGCCAGGCTCACTTCATTCATTATTAGAAAATATCTACCAAATATGGAAGTTGGAATAACCATAGTCCGTATGTAAACCATTCTTTCTTGCAGAAGCAATATGCCATGAAAAAGTAGACAGTTGGCTGGGTGTGGTGGCTCACACCTGTAATCCCAGCACTTTGGGAGCCCGAGGCAGGCGGATCACAAGGTCAGGAGATAAAGACCAACCTGAGCAACATGGTGAAACCCTGTCTCTACTAAAAATACAAAAATTAGCTGGGCATGGTGGTGTGTGCCTGAGTCCCAACTACTCAGGAGGCTGAGGCAGGAGAATCGCTTGAACCCGGGAGGCGGAGGCTGCAGTGAGTTGAGATCACCCCATTGCACTCCAGACTGGTGACAGAGCAAGACTCTGTCTCAAAAAAATATATATAGTTTGTTGATCTCAAATAACTGCACTTTTCCTTGAGATATTACTGTATATTGTAGAAATACTTTATGCATACTTCACATTTTGTCACACAGAATATTAAGATATGTATTCAAGGTTTGAGATATAAAATTTACAAATTCTACTGCTTCATTAATGACATTCTTAATTAAAATTAGTTTTCTTTTTTTTTTTTTTTTTTTTTTTTTGAGACGGAGTTTCACTCATGTTACCCAAGCCGGAGTGCAATGGCGCAATCTCGGCTCACCACAACCTCCGCCTCCTGGGTTCAGGCAATTCTCCTGCCTCAGCCTCCTGAGTAGCTGGGATTACAGGCACGCACCACCATGCCCAGCTAATTTTTTGTATTTTTAGTAGAGACGGGGTTTCACCATGTAGACCAGGATGGTCTCGATCTCTTGACCTCGTGATCCACCCGCCTCGGCCTCCCAAAGTGCCAGGATTACAGGCTTGAGCCACCGCGCCCGGCCACGTCTATCTTTAATTAACTAGATAATGAGCCCTGCCTAAGCAGGACATCAAAAAATTCAGCCATAAACTCATAATTGTTTCTCTCCACGGAAATCTTTAGTAAAAGGCGAAAGATTTATTCGTTATGAAGAGAAACCAGAGCATTAAAATTAGTTTTCTTTCCCCTTGTAAGTATAAGCAAAGAATAAAGTACATGTCGAATATTCCTTATATGAAATGCCTGGGACCAGAAGTTTCAGATTCTGAAATATTTGCTGGTTGAGCTTTCCAAATTAAAAAATTCGAAATCTGAAATGCCCCAGTGAGCATCTCCTTTGAGCATCGTGTCAGTTCTCAAAAAATTCTGGATTTTGAAGCATTCTGGATTTTTGGATTTGGTGGATTTAGGATGCTCAATGTGTAACTGCTAGCAGTTTGTTGCCACTGCCTTGATTCCTGCTAAGGTGTTGTAGTTTTACCCACAACTGCTTTTGCAATATCAGTGCAAACTAAATACAACTTTTTGTTTTATTTTTAGTTTTTTGAGACAGAGTCTTGCTCTCCCACCAGGCTGGAGTGCAATGGCATGATCTTGGTTTACTGCAACCTCCACCTTCTGGGTTCAATAGGTTCTCCTGCCTCAGCTTCCCAAGTAGGTAGCGAGGACTACAGGCACGTGCCACCATACCAGACTAATTTTTGTATTTTTAGTAGAGATGGGGTTTCACCATTTGGCCAGGATGGTCTCGATTTCTTGACCTCGTGATCTGCCTGCCTCGGCCTCCCAAAGTGCTGGGATTATAGCTACTGTGCCCAGCTGTTTTGTTTTTTTATATTATTTTATCTTATCTTATTTTTTGAGTCAGGGTTTTACTCTGTCACCCAGGCTGGAGTGCAGTGATGTGGTCATGGCTCAATGTAGCCTCAACCTCCTGAGCTCAGGAAGTCCTCCTGCCTCAACCTCCCAAGAAGCTGGGAAACAGGTACATGCCATCACACCCAGTTAATTTTTTTATTTGTTTGTAGAGATGGAGTCTTGCTTTGTTGCCCAGGCTGGTTTTCAACTCCTGGGCTCAAGTGATCCTCCTGCCTCAGCCTCCTAAAGTGCTGGGATTATAGGTGTGCCTATCTTGTGAACATAGTAAAAAAGGGAAATAATATATATCATGAAAACAGTTTTGGCTTTACACCTATAATCCCAGCACTTTGGGAGACCAAGGCTGGAGAACTATTTGAGCCCAGAAGTTCAAGAGCAGCCTGGGCAACAAAGCAGGACCCCATCTCTACAAAAGAATAAAAAAAATTAGCTGGGCATGGTGATATATGCCTGAGGTCCAAGCTACCCAGGAAGGCTGAAGCAGGAGGACTACTTGAACCCAGGAGGTTGAGGTTGCAGTGGGCCAAGACTAAGCCACTGCACTTCAGTTGGGGTGACAGAGCAAGACCTCATCTCAAACAAACAAAACAATTTGACCTTAGGGACTCTCTAAAAGTTCCATATATTGAGAAACACTGGAAGGAAAAAAAAAGTAATGGACATTTATTTACCTGTTTCTTCTGTTCAGTGGAAGACAAGCGTTTGGAACCAACCTTCTGAGCTTCCTCAAAAAGGCTATCAACAAAATATTCACAATTTGATTGTTGATTATTACCAAGAGGTTGATTATCAGATCCTGTTTCACAAACCCTAAACAAGATAAAGAAAAATAGGCACTATTAACTATCAGGTCTCTAAAAATTTACTTATTTTGTTCTAGTTAGGGGACATTGAACTTAGATGCTACCTGCATGTCTGTAGTTCAGGCCCTTTTCTAAGTTAATATAATCTTGGGGAAGTCATTAGCCCCTTTTTAGTCCAGAGCAGGGTTTTCTCAACCTCAGCTCTATTAACATTTAGAAATAAATAATGCTTTGCTGAATGAGGTGTCCTGTGCATTGGAGATTGGGATTCCTAACCCATAGGCCCATGGCCTGTTAGGAACGGGTCGCACAGCAGGAGATGAGTGATGGGCAAGCAAGCAAAGCTTCATCTGTATTTACTGTCGCTCCCCATTGCTTGAATTACCACCTGAGCTCTGCCTATTGTCAGATCAGTGGTGGCATTAGATTCTCATAGGAGCATTAACCTGTGAACTGAGCATGCAAAGGATCTAGGTTGCATGCTCCTTATGAAACTCTAATGCTTCATGATCTGTCACTGTCTACCATCACCCCCAGATGAGACCATCTAGTTGCAGGAAAACAAGCTCAGGACTCCCACTAATTCTACATTATAGTGAGTTGTATAATTAGTTCATTATACATTATAATGTAATAATAATAGAAATAAAGTTCAAATAAATGTAATGTGCTTGAATCATCCCGAAACCATCTCCCTTTCTCCCCACACAGGTCCATGGAAAAACTGTTTTCCACAAAACCAGTCCCTGGTGCCAAAAAAGTTGGGGAACACTGCTGCAGAATGTTTAACAGTATCCTGGTCTCTAACCATGAGATACAACAAGTAGGATGCACATCTCTGCCCCATCCCTAACCCCCAGTTGTTATAACAACCAAAAACATCTCTACACATTGCCAAATGTGGTAGGGGCAAAATCTCTCCAGGTTAAAAACCACTGGTCTGGATTAAAAAAATGTGTTGTGGCTTTGTTTTGTTTTTTTAGAAACAAAGTCTTTGTCGCCCAGGCTGGAGTGCAGTGGCTCAATTTCAGCTCATTGCAGTCTCAACCTCTAGTACTCAATCTTCTCACTTCAGTCCCCCAAGTAGCTGGGACTGCAGGCTTGTACCACCATGCCCAGCTAATTTTTTGTAGAGATGGACTTTAACCATGTTGCTCAGGCTTGTCTCAAGCTCCTGGGCTCCAGTGATCTGCCTGTCCTGGCCTCCCAAAGTGCTGGGATGACAGGTGTGAGCCATTGCTCCTGGCCAAAAATGTGTTATTTTTAAAGGCCTCAAAATGGCTTTAAAAGAGGCTACTATGCATTTTTTGGTAACAGAAAACACTCTTGAAACTAAAGGGGATAATGTACCAGGAACAATTGCATTTTTGCTCCTTTGCACACTTCAGAATATTTCCCACTGAAGACTTCATTTATAGTGGTTTATTTATTTATTTATTTATTTTTGAGACAGAGTCTCATTCTGTCACCCAGGCTAGAGTGCAGTGGCATGATCACAGCTCACTGCAGCCTCAACCTCCTGGTTCAAGTGGTTCTCCCCAAAGTAGCTGGTTCTACAGGTGCACATTGCCACAGCTGGCTGATTTTTAAAAATGTTTTGGAGAAAGAGGGTCTCACCATGCTGTCCAGGCTTATCTCAAACTCCTGGGTTCAAACAATCCTCCTGTGTCTGTTTCCCAAAATGCTGGGATTACAGGTGTGAGCCACTGCATCCAGCCTATAGTAGTTTAATACTTTACTGGTTTTAATTTTATATTTTTATTTTTTTGTATAAGAAATATTATCTAAGATTCTGTTTGTTAGAAAAGATGGTTTCTGACTGATCTCTTTTGAAGTCATGCAGAAAAATTTATAAAAGTACAGAAATAAGATTTTTCAAATTCTTTTTTTCATTTTTTTTTTTGAGATGGAGTTTCACTCTGTTGTCTAGGCTAGAGTGCTGTGGCATGATCTCAGCTGACTGCAACCTCTGCCTCTTGAGTTCAAGCAATTCTCCTGCCTCAGCCTCCGGAGTAGCTGGGACTACCGGCACATGCCACAACACCCAGCTAATTTTTATATTTTTAGTAGAGATGGGGTTTTACCATGTTGGCCAGGATGGCCTCGATCTCCTGACCTTGCGATCCGCCTGCCATGGCCTCCCAAAGTGCTGGGATTACAAGGGTGAGCCACCGCGCCCAACCTCTTTTTTTTTTGAGACAGAGTTTCATTTTTGTCGCCCAGGCTGGAGTGCAATGGCGCGATCTTGGCTCACTGCAACCTCCACCTCTTGGGTTCAAGCAATTCTCCTGCCTCAGCCACCCAAGTAGCTGAGATTACAGGCACATGCCACCATGCCTGGCTAATTTTTTTAGAGGTAGGGTTTCACCATATTGGCCAGGCTGGTCTTGAACTCCTGACCTCAAGTGATCCACCCGCCTCAGCCTCCCAAAGTGCTGGGATTACAGGCAAGAGCCACAGTGTCCAGCCTAGGATTTCTCAAATTCTATAAATAATATCATATTTTTATACCTCTTATACTGTGCCAGGAAATATAAGCTAGAGACTGTTAAACTATGCTGCTAATCTGTCTCCCAAGTCTGTGATCCTAACCATGACATCTTATAAAGAACAAAGTACCTTACATGTGCCAACTCATTCAGTCCCCACAATGACCCTAAAAAGCTTAATTTGCCAGAGATCACAAAGCTATTAGGAGGCACTGCTAGGAACTAAACTCAAGCTACCAATGCCTCTGCTCTTAATCACTATGCTAGACTGTCATAGAAAATAGCTATCACTGAGCCTTGGTATGGTGGTACATGTCTGTAGTCACTTGAGGAGGATCACTTGAGGCCAGGACTTTGAGGCTGTAGTGTGCTCTGACTGAGCCTGTGACTAACCACTGCATTCTTGCCTGGGAAATATAATGAGATCTTGTCTCTGTTTTTTTTAAGACAGTTTCACTCTTGTTGCCTGGCTGGAGTGCAATGGCATGATCTCAGCTCACTGCAACCTCCGCCTCCTGGGTTCAAGTGATTCCCCTGCTTCAGCCTCCCGAGTAGCTGGGATTACAGGCATGCACCACCATGCCCAGCTAATTTTCTGCATTTTTAGTAGAGAAGGGGTTTCTACTTTTTGGTCAGGCTGGTCTTGAACCCCTGACCTCAGTTGATCCGCCCACCTGGGCCTAACAAAGTGTTGGGATTACAGGCGTGAGCCACCGCACCCGGCCTGGAGAACTTCTCTTTAAAAAAAAAAAAAAAAAAAAAAAAGAATGAGCTGGGTGTGGTGGTGCACGCCTGTAGCCCCAGCTACTTGGGAGGCTGAAGTGGGAGGATCACCTGAATCCAGGAAGCCAAGGTCACAGTGAACTGAGATCACACCAATGTACTCCAGGCCTGGGCAACAGGGTGAGACCACGTCTCAAAAAAAAAAAAAAAAAACAAAAACAAAAAACTACAATAAGAGATACAAGATACAGTTCAGAACTGGGGTGCTTTGGCTCCATTGAATAGGTGGTAATGGGTTTGTTTCACTTTTGATGAGTGTATAGGCACAGGAAAAAAGAGTAACAAAGGCACTAAGAACTGCTTTATGCCCCTAAAATTGATAACTTAGATGAAATGAACCAATTTCTTATAAGGCACAGTCTATCAAAACACACACAAAAAGGAACAGACAACATGAATAGGCCTACATACACTAAGGAAATTAAATCAATAATAAATAACCTTCCAAAACAGAAGCACCAGGCCTGGATGATGTCACTGATGAATTCTATGAAACATTTAAGAAACAAATGATACTAATTTGCTACAATCTCTTCCAGAAAATAGAAGCAGAGGGAACACTTTTAACTCATTCTATGAGGAAAACACTATGCTATACTAAAACGAAAGACATTACAAGAAGGGAAAACTACAGAAAACTTAATTGTGAACACATATGTAGAAATACTCAACAAAATATTAGCAAATAGAATACAACAATATGTTTAAAAAAATTAAACACCAAAATCATGTAGGATTTATCCTTGGTATGCAAGGCTGTAGTGGTTTAACACTGAAAATCAATTCATGTAATCCATCGCATCAACAGCCTAAAGAATAAAAATAATATAATCATATCAGCATATGCAGAAAAAGCATTTGACAATATCCAATAACCATTCATAATAAAACCCCCACAAACTAGGAATAGAAAGGGAACTTCCTCAACTTGGCATAGAATGTCTGCAAAAGCCTACAGCTAACATCACATTTAATCATGAGAAACTAGATGCTTTCTCACTAAGATAAGGAACAAGACAAGGATGTCACATCTCACCATTCCTCATCAGTACTGTACTGGAAGTCCTAGCTAATCCAGTAACATAAGGAAAGGAAATAAAATATATACAGAATAGAAAGGAGGCCAGGTGCAGTGGCTCACACCTATAATCCCAGCACTTTAGGAGGCTGAGGTGGGAGGATCTCTTGAGCCCAGAAGTTTGAATACTAGCCTGGACAACATAGGGAGACCCCATCTCTATTTAAAAAATAAGAAAAATTAGCCAGGGATGGTGGTGCATGCCTATAGTTCCAGCCTCTCCAATAGCTAATTTTTGTATTTTTTGTAGAGCTAGGGTTCACCATGTGCTCCAGGCTGGCCTTGAACTCCCGGGCTCAAGAAATCTGCCTGCCTTGGTCTCCCAAAGTGCCAGGATTACAGGCATAAGCCACCGTGCCCAGCCAGTAAACATTCCTAAAATATCAGGAGTTCCTAAAATAATAAAAGTACAGAAGCTTCAGGTGAGAGATTTCTAAAATTTTTTTACAATTTTATTGCGATAAGAACACTTAAAATGAGACCTAACTTCTTAGTAAATTTTTCAGTGAACAATAAAGTGTGGTTAACTGCAGGTACTACGTTGTTCAGCATATCTCTAGGACCTATTCATCTTGCTTAAATGAAACTTTATGCCCACTGATAAGCAGCTCCCCATTTTCACTTTCCCCGAGCCCCGGCAATCAACATTATATCTTCAAGATTCATCCATGTTGTTGCATACTGCAGAATTTCCTTCTTTTTCAAGACTGAATAATATTCCATTGTGGGTATGTATTATACATTCTTTACCCATTCATCTCTTTTCGAGATTTTTTTTTTTTTTTGAGAACTCTGTGACCCAGAATGGAGAAGTACAATATATTACACGATCATGGCTCACTGAAGCCTCTAACTTCTAGGGTCAAACAATCCTCCTGTCTCAGCCTCCTCAGTAGCTGGGCTTACAGTGTTACCATGCTGGCTAGTTTAAAAAAATTTTTTTTTTGAGACAGAGTCTTGCTCTGTTACCCAGACTGGAGTGCAGTGGTGCAATCTTGGCTCACTGCAACCTCTGCCTCCAGGGTTCAAACAATTCTCCTTCTCAGCCTCCCGAATAGCTAGGATTACTGGGGCTTGCCACCACGCCCAGCTAATTTTTATATTTTTAATAGAGACAGTATTTCACCATGTTAGCCAGGCTGGTCTCGAACTCCTGACCTCAGGTGATCCACCTGCCTTGCCTCCCCAAGTGCTAGGATTAAAGGCAGGAGCCACTTCACCCGGCCAACAATGTCTCAATTATATAATTAGCATCAAATATTTATATAAGCCTATAAATACCTGAGTGAAAAAAATAACAAATAGGCCAAGTATGGTGGCTCATGCTTATAATCACAGCATTTTGAGAGGCTGTGGCAGGAGGCTCACTTGAAACCAGGAGTTCTGGGCAATATCGTGAAATCTCACTGCTACAAAAAATTTAAAAATTAACTGGGTACAGTGGTGTAAAACTGTAGTCCCAGCTACTCAGGAGGCCAAGGTGGGATGATCACTTGAGCCCAGGAATTCAAAGTTCCAATGAGCTATGATTGCACCTGGGCAACGGATACCCTTTCTGTTTAAAAAAAAAAAGAAAGAAAAAAGAAAAAAAGATATGCACATAAAACCTTTCAGATAGGTAGTTATTTATAGCCTCATTTTATAGATGAGATATTGAGGCTCAAAGAATTTACCTAAGCTGCCCAAAGGCCAGAGAGTAATACAAGGCAGAGATGGGATTCAAGCCTAGGTTTGTCTGACTCCAAAACCATATTTCCACTATGACACCAAAATAGTATTCTAACACAAGAAGGTAATGAGGTAAATGGTTATTTAATTTCTTAAATAACAGAAGCTATGTATGAACATTCATAATTTAACTTTTTTTATTAATAACAAAAAACATTCAAGTAACTTCACTAAAATCTGTTCAATGCAGCCATGGTAAAAAAAAAAAAAAAGAAAATTACTTCAACATAGTAGATATTTACTGAAGTAGTCATACACAATTAAAGCATACTTTACTATCTCTTCCAGTCAACTGTAACAAAAATAGAGAATGATATTAACAAAGGCATTAACAAAGCAATTCACAGTTTGAATTAACTTACCATTCTTCTTTTATACTTTTGAGGTTATCTACGTCTTTCATTCTCTTTTGCCTTACTGTAAAAGTAAAAAGAAATAAAAGCTAGAGTTCTCAATTTAGTGTTTTAAACAAATTTATTCCTATGTACATGTCAATATTTTTTAACATTTAAGTTACCATGTAGTCCTTAAAAGGGTCTAAAGAAAAAGTGAGCAAACTCAAAGCTGTCATTTTCATCTACAAAATAAAGAAATATTAGAAAATACATTTTCAAGTCTGATAATCTGACAAAAGAAAGACTTCTTAAAACTTATGATGAGGCTGGGCACGGCAGCTCACGCCTTTAATCCCAGCACTTTGGGAGGCTGAGAGGCAGGGGGATCACCTGAGGTCAGGAGTTCAAGACCAGCCTGGCTAACATAGTAAAATCCTGTCTTTACTAAAAATACAGAAAATTATCTGTGTATGGCTGTGGGTGCCTGTAATCCCAGCTACTCGGGAGGCTGAGGCAGGAGAATCGCTTGAACCCAGGAGGTGGAGGTTGCAGTGAGCCAAGATCATGCCATTGCACTCCAGCCTGAGAGACAGGTTCAAAAAAAAAAAAACAAAAAACATAAGTATATATCAAAGGACCCCAAAGGCCAGGGGTGTGGTGGCAAAACACCATCTGTACTAAAAATTAAAAAATTAGCTTGATGTGGTAGTGTGCACCTGCAATCCCAGCTACTTGGGAGGCTGAGGCAGGAGAATCACTTGAACCCAGGAGGCGGAGCTTGCAGTGAGCCAAGATTGCACTACTGCACTACAGCTTGGGCAACAGAGTGAGTGAGACTCTGTCTCACAAAATAAATAAATAAATAAATAATAAATTAAAAAGAAAAGAAAAAGTGACCCCAAAGCCACTCTGAAGGGGCTCCCGTTGGCTAAATTTGGGAAATTGAACGTCTAAAAAAATAATAACACTAGTGGATAATGTGCCATTGAATAAAACAAAAGTATGTGAGTCTATACTATTAATTTTTTTTTTTAAATAAAAACGATGAGGCCAGGTATGGTGGTAATGCCTGTACTCCCAGCACTTTGGGAGGCCGAGGCAGTCAGATCACTTCAGGTAAGGAGTTTGACACCAGCCCGGCCAACGTGACGAAACCCCATCTCTACTAAAAATACAAAAATTAGCTTGGTGTGGTAATGCACACCTGTAATTCCAGATACTGGGGAGGCTGAGGCTTGAGAATTACTTGAAGCTGGGAGGCAGAAGTTGCTGTGAGCCAAGACTGCACCATGGCACTCCAGCCTGAAACGAACCCTTTAATAAACTCAATAGTAAGGTGATATTACCATAACAAAAATACACTCCAAATACAGTAATATGCTGTGTACCAACATGGTGGTCAACAATGGACTGGATATACAATGATGGTCCCATAAGATTATAATAGTATATTTTTACTGTACAATTTTTCTATGTTGAGATATGTTTAGATATGCAAATAGTTACAATTATATCATAATTGCCTACAGTATTCAGTATGGTAACATGCTGTACAGCTTTGTAGTCTAAGAGTAATGGGCTACACCATACAGCCTGAGTGTATAGTTGGCTATACTATCAGGATTGTGTAAATACATTTCATGATATTCACACAATGACAAAATTGCCTAATGAAGCTCTTTTCAGAATGTACCCCCTTCATTAAATAAGAGGAGATTACATATACAAGATTTAAAATGTTTAAACTTCTATTGAAAGAGAGTGGGAGAAAAAGGAAAAGATAATTAAACTCGAGGGTGACATCAGCAAAATGGAAAAACATTTTGGTCCACAAACCTGTCCCCCTCCTCCACAAAAAATCAAAAAACAAGTAGAAACTGTTAGAACCAACTTTATCAGAACTCTAGAAAATAGTCAAAGAAGGGTTACAGCAACCAAGGGAATGCTGAATCAAGAAAAGGGCAATGTTAAAATGATAGGAAAGCTGGGCACAGTGGCATACTCCTGTATTCCCAGCTACTTTCAAGGCTGAGAGGCAGGAGATCACTTGAGTCAGGGAATTTGAGGCTGCAGTGAGCCATGATCATGTCACCATGCTCCAATCTGAACAACAGAGCAAGAATCTGTCTCTTAAAAAAAAATGCACAACAAAATTTAAAAAAAGAAACAAAAAAAAAAAAGAAAAAAAATGCACAAATGGGCAAAGGACTTGTGAGAATAGACATTTTTCCAAAGAAGAAATAAAAATGACTAATAAGCACATGAAAAGATGCTCGAAATCAATAATAGTTCCTGGAAAATACAAATCAAAACCATAATGAGATACTACTTCACACCCATTAGGATGACTACTAAAAAGAAAACAAAAAGCAGAAAACAAGCGTTGGCAAACTTGTAAAGAAATTAGAACCCTGGTACGCTGCTGGTGGGAACGTGAAAAACCGCTGCTGAGGAAAAGAGTTTGGTGGCTACAGTGATATTCACAATAGCCAAAAGGTGGAAACAACTCAAGTATCCATCAACAGATGAATGAATAAACAAAATGTGGTGTATATAAGCAATGGAGTATTATTCAGCCACAAAAGGAGTGAAATTCTGATACATACTATAACATGGATGAACGTTGAAAACGTGATGCTACATGAATAAAAAAGTCAAACACAAAAGGACAAATACTTTATGATTCCATACACATAAAATATCTAGAATAGGTGACTGATAAAGACAGAAAGTAGAATAGAGGTTACTAGGGATTGAGATGAGTGAGGAATGAGCAGTTAATGGGTATAGAGTTTCTGTTTGGGGTGATGAAAATGTCTTGGAAATGAAGAGTAGTGATGGTTGTACAACACTGTGAATGTAATAATGTCACAGAATTGTACATTTAAAAATGATTAAAATGGCAAATCTTATGTTATCTATGTTTTCTCACAATAAAAAATGTTTTTTATTTTATTTTATTTTGAGACAGAGACTAGCTATGTTGCCCAAGCTGAGATGCAGTGGCTATTCACAGGCACGATCACAGTGCACTACAGCTCAAACTCCTGGGCTCAAGTGATCCCCCTGCCTCAGCCTTCTGAGTAGCTGGAACAATGGGTGCACCCTGCTAATTTTTTGTTTTAAGCGTTGTTGGAAACCCAGTCTCACTATGTTACCTAGGCTGGTTTCAAACTCTTGGTTTCAAGTGGCCCTCTCACCTCAGCCTCCAGAGTAGCTGGACTATAGGAGCACACCACTGTGTCCAGCTACAATAAAAAAATAAAGAGCTAACTCTTAACTATTTAAGAAAACATAGTAAATTTTTTTTTAGTAACCTGGAAGAGGCCGGGTGTGGTGGCTCATGCCTGTAATCCCAGCACTTTGGGAGGCTGAGGTGGGCAGATAACGAGGTCAGGAGTTCGAGACCAGCCTGACCAAAATGGTGAAACCCCGTCTCTACTAAAAATACAAAAATTAGCCAGGTGTGGTGGGACAAGCCTGCAATCCCAGCTACTCAGGAGGTTGACACAGGAGAATCGCTTGAACCTGGGATGGTGAAGGATGCAGTGAGCCAAGATCACGCCATTGTATTCCAGCCGGGGCAACAGAGCGAGACTCCGTCTCAAAAAAAAACAAAAAAAACCTGGAAATAACCTGGAAGAGAAGACAACTTTCCTATAACTCAAATCCAGAAGCAATAAGAAAAAAACAGATACATCTTATACAATAAAAAATGTATAAGAGGCTAGGCGCAGTGGCTCATGCCTGTAATCTCAGCACTTTGGGAGGCCGAAAAGGCGGGCAGATCACAAGGTCAAGAGATAGAGACCATCCTGGCCAACACGGTGAAACCTCGTCTCTACTAAAAATACAAAAATTAGCTGGGCATGGTGTCTGTCTCCTGCCTACGCCTGTAGTCCCAGCTACTCGGGAGGCGTAGGCAGGAGAATCGTTTGAACCTGGGGGGGCGGAGGCTGCGGTGAGTGGAGATCACGCCACTGCATTCCAGCCTGGCGACAGAGCAAGACTCTGTCTCAAAAAAAAAAAAAAAAAAAAAAAAAAAGTATAAGATCTGAGAGCTATAGTGTAAAATGAAAAAAAAAAATAAAAAAAATTAAAACAAAGAAGACAAACTAAGAAAAAATATTTGGAACTTATACTATAATAAAAGATTAATATAGCTGGGTGCAGTGGCTCACACCTATAATCCCAGCTACTCAAGAGGCTGAGGCAGAAGGACTGCTTGAGGTCAGAAGTTTGAGACAAGCCTGGGAAACATAGTGAGATCTCATCTCTTTAAAATAAAATAAAATAAAATAAAATAAAATAAAATAATTGGGCTGGGGGTGGTGGCTCACACCTGTAATCCCAGTGCTTTGGGAGGCCAAGGCAGGCAGATTGCTTATGCTCAGGAGTTTGAGACCAGCCTAGGCAACATGGCAAAAACCCATCTCTACAAAAAATTGGCTAGGCATAGTGGTACACGCTGGTAGTCCCAGCCTCTTGGGAGGGTGAGGCGGGAGGGTCACCTGAGCCCAGGAAGTCAAGGCTGCAGTGAGCCATGATCATGCCACTCTGCACTCTAGCCTGGGCAACAAAGCAGCACCTTGTCTCAAAAAACAAAGCAAAAAACAAAACAAAAAACACCCTCTAAAAATGGAAAGTAAAAATAAAACAAATGGAATGGTACTGATCAAGTGGGTGGCAAAACCACACATAGGAACTATTTCAAATAACTTTAAAACAGAGTAATTGGCTAGGCCCATTAGTTCACACCTGTAATCGAAGCACTTTGGGAGGCCGAGGTGGGCAGATCACCTGAGGCTAGGATCTTGAGACCAGCCTGGGCAATGTGGCAAAACCCCGTCTCTGCTAAAAATAGAAAAATTAGATGGGAATGGTGGTGCATGCTTGTAATCCCAGCTACTTGAGAGGCAGAAGCATGAATATTGCTTGAACCTAGGAAGCGGAGGTTGCAGTTGGCAAAGATTGTGCCACTAGACTCCAGCCTGGGTGACAGAGTAAGATTCTGTCTCAAAAATAAATAAACAAACAGAAAAACAACAACAAAAACCAGAGTAATTTAGTAATTTGACTGGA